CTAGCAACCGGGGTACTTATAGATTTCAGGTCGTCGCCTTCCACCGCATCTCGACCTCCGCAAAAACCTCGACCCGTTTCGTCACTTGAAAACCCAGACCTTCAAACAGCTTGATGCTCGGAACGTTTGATTCAGATATGCGAACGAGAAGAGCAGTCGGGGGAAGTGGGAGTGGGCTAGATTGATCTGGCTGTGGTGGTGGTTTGTGGCAGATGAAGTGCCCAACAGAGGAGGCAGTCGTGTAGCCAAGCAGTAGCTGCAACGCCTCTCGTGCACATCCACGACGGCGGTATTCCTTTTCTGTGTTTATTCAGACTAAAGTCAATGGGAGGAACGCACTGACGAACCAGCGATCATAACTTCCGCTTCAGCATAGAACTCCTCGTCCGTTTCCTTCCCGTGCAAGAAAATATTGACATCCCCAATCATAGGCAGCGCTTTCACGCTGGCCTCGTGCGGACTGGGCACTTGTGAGGAATCAAGTCCATCGCCAGTTTGTCGCGCCAGAACGATGAACGTCAGTTTGTCCGGGTCTTCGCGCCATTTGCCTATCCTTTGCTGAGAATTCGGAATAGAGAAAGGCTCATCATCCTACGCTGCATATCGTATTCCTCTTCAAGCGTCAAAGGCTCGCTTGCAGTAAGAGCTTGCAGCTCTTCATCTTGCATCCATTCGTGGTAGGCCTACTTTGTGGAGTCAAGACCGCGTTGCAGGAGAGAACCAAGTGGACGAACGGGGACATGCTCCGGAAGATACGAGAACGACTTTGTCGCCGACAATGACTGTGGTCGCGTTGATGTGCATCGAGGTCGAGAGTAAGCGATCACACCTAAAAACTAGCAACAACATTTCGATTCAACTACAGTACAGCAAGCTAAAAGCCCGCAACGCTACGACTTTATCACTACCCGCCTTTCAATACGATTTTCTTCTTTTGTTACTCCGGCACCGATCTCGCCTGTTTGGGGTTTTTTTTTTCGAAATCTCTGCCCGCCTTTGAATCTGTTTTCCTGCTTTTCCATCCTATCCCGCCTGTTTTTGTGTTTTCGCTATGGAAAGCGACCGGTGTGAAAACCGCAAAAAGGGCCATCTCCGCCCGCCTTTGAAAGTGCTTTTCTGATTCCTAATCCTATCCCGCCTGTTTTTGTGCTGTTAAAGAGCGCGAAAGAGACAGGCGTAAAGCCACGTTTCTCTTCGCCCGCCTTTAAAACAGGTTTTCCGCTTTTCATTCGACCACCGCCGTTTTTGCATTTTCGAAACGGCCTGAAAGCAACGCGATTGACCCAAAAGACCTTAGACAATGGAATGATCGTCCGATAGGTCGGTCATGAAAATGATGGTAGAGCCGATTCGTCTCGCTGCCGATGGGTATTGGGGGCTTTGGTATATGGTTGTATGCCCAGAGTATTGTCGGCAAGCAGACTATCGAGTCGGGTCGTGGCCAACCATGAAGGTGGTTGAAGACGATACTATTGACGGCGACGTTGCGTTCGCCAACAACGACAATGATATGGCCGTCGTTTTGGGGTATTCCAGGCCTTGGTATAGAGCAGTGGAGGCCAAAAGGTAACTGCAGCAGTGCAGCAATATGCTGAAGTGAGTTTCAGCGTGCCCGGCGACAAAAAAGCGGCCGCGGGCAAAAGGTGGTAATTCGTCGATTGGTTCGTCGGATTGCGCTGACTGTGGAGTGACTGAATCACAAGAAATGATGGTCGCGAACAGCGCGTGACGATTCAAGATTGCGCAAAATATGGCTCCAGATCGCGCCCTGGATCATATTGGTGGCGCATAGAACAGGACCGTTGGCGATAATTTAGTGCCAGGGAAGACTGTTGGCAGAAACAGCCTCGAAACAACTGTCGCATGTAAAGCCCTCGATAGAGGCAGTTGCACTCGTGGAGAACGATGAGGTGGTGCTTGCTGCAGGCTTGAAATCGTCGATGGTGGGGAAGCGGACCATCGAGGGAATTGGGTGTTCGGAAAGAAGAGAGCACATGTCTAAGCCTGATGAGTTTGGATATCGAAAAATTCATGGAGAAGGACTTACAATCAATCCCAAGCAAAATAGTCTACGCGGAAGGGTCAGAAGACGCTACTAGAAGGATTGTTACTCACCCTTTGAGCGCAGCGAGTTCCAGGGGTATCGGCTGACGCTCTTCGCGATATAGGGTATCACCAGTCCAAGCAAATGATGTCATAAGACGATTATCTAGGGCAGAGATTCAGAAAGGAAACACCGAGTAGCAAAGACCGACTGACCTCATGGGCGCTAGTAGCGGTCCGTTCAAGCAAAGGGCATCAACTAGCAGACACATTAGCCCATCAATGAGTACTCAAACATGAGACCTACTTCTGGCACAGCGGATCCGTGGCTGGCTCGATCGGGGAGTAGTTTGCATGTGGAGCCTTCAAATAAATCCAAGCAAAGCAGCTGGCTCGAGGGTATAAGCTGCGCGTATGGGATAGTAGAGGGTATCGTGTTTCCTGCAACCTATCAGCAAATAATCTTGTCACCAGGAGATAACGCACCAAGAAGCAAGCAAACTATCTCTGAAGTCCGATGCGAGTGATCCGTTGCCGATATCTTCCAATGAACAGATTGAACGTGGCCCTTAAAGAACCGAATATGGGTCCGTCGCACGTGCCCGTGCCCTGCCATGGCGCTTCACGCCCCCACTCCTGCTCGACGTCAAAGAAGCTGGGTCTTCGTTCTCTTTGTTGTCAGAGCGACGATGCTTGCGAGGAGGCTTAGTTGGAGGTGGGGTTGTGACGACCTCTTGGACAGTGAGGTGACCGAGGAGGGTACAAAGGTTGTCCACCTCCACGTCAGTCATGTCCACGTCAGCAGGAGCGAGGGAGAGCGCGGCAACTTGCTCGAGAAACTCTTCGGGGAGTGGCTCTGGAAAGCACTGTCTCACCCGTTTCTTTGGAGGTCCATCGCTGACGGGGCAAGTACGCTTCCCGAGCGTCACCACGGGTGGTAGATGACGCTTTCGAGTGGCTTTGACGCCTTGGGAACGGCGATGTTGTGGACGGGGTGGCTTCGGCAAGCCGTATTCATCTTGCTGTAGACGAATGGGTACCAAGACAAGTAGAAAAAGGATAACGTACAACATGTGGAGAGACGCGGGGGAAGACTACGGGGAAGAAGGTGAACGTGAAGTCGAAGTTCGCGAGGGACATGGTTGTCCAAAGTCAAGAGGAAATGCGGAAGTGTCTCGGTGGTCACGCTGGCTTTGGCTCTGGCACAGGGGTCCCGAGACTTGGAGCCATCGATAGCAGGAAGGTCGTGGAGGAAAATGGGCTCCAGCTGCTCGTTCAAAACCACCAGAGAGCGAAATAGCGACCAAAGCGCCTATATTACATGTAAGTTCCACGGATGTGGGTCTATGCCAAGGATCGTATGTGACATCAACGACAAAAGCATCGGTTGGAGGAGTGTCGGGAGAAAGCGTGAAAAGGTTTGGATGGTGGTGGTCGAAGGAAGAGTTGTGATTGGCTGAAGATCCGGCGATGGCTTGGCAAGCCATTTGATCTGATTAGATTGGCCCTTGAAATTTCACTCTTTCAAACTTCAGAATATCTACAGACGTTTTCTAGTTATTGTGTACTTTGATGAAGCAAGCAGAGACTATAGATTCGGGTCCCAGTATACGCTTGTCTCCCACAGTGTGTCCTCATACACTTCTCTGAGGTCCACGGAGACTGATCTGAAGTCGATACCAGCCTTGACAAAGACACTCCGACACCGTGACGCCAGCTCCCCAGCTCCCGCAAAGCGCCGGGAAGTGAAACGGACTTGCTTCAACTTACACTGGGAGCGGGAGATAAATGACCCAAACTCTTCCGCCACAGTGTCGACCGTAAGTGAATCCACCGCAACTTGGATTCGAAGAAGAGCTGGTAATGTGAAGACCGACAGACACCAGGGCTGAATGACTGGACCCATTGCAGCCAGTCCGAGAGCTTCGCAGGTCCCCAAAACAAATAGGTCGACGAAAGGGAGCTCGATGTTGACGCCTGCACTCCCCTCCATATCCAACAGAGCCAGCTTGCATTGCTTCAAATTCCCGCATTGGGACAACACCGCAAAACAATCCACAAAAGAGACGTGCAAGAGGGTCAAGGCGATCAGCTGGCGAAAGGGAAGTAGCTGAGAGGATTCCACGGTGAGCTTGACGGCCAACAAAGACAGCGACTGCAGGCGGGGAGCGGAATGAAACGTGACTATTCCAGTGTCATTGAAGTCGTGTCTGTAAGTGTCCACCGGTCGGATGCAGAGGTGAAGAAGGCACGAGGCCGTTTCCGAGACAAGCAGCGAAGTAATTGCCGAGCCGCTCCAGAAATGTGAATATTGCCAGCGTGAGCGGGCGGCAACGACTGCCGTGAAGAGCTTCTTCTGCGGAGAGTCGACGGAATCATCATCTAGTAGTGAGGCGGGAGTGACCCTGAACACAACATGGAGCGCCAAAGGCATCCCCTTCGAACGCTGAAGCCAATCAAGCGTCCTTTCGATATGCGTGTCTTCGTAACACTGGATTGCCTGCCATAACTCGGGGCTTTGGAGCGCTATGACTCTCCATTTACGACAAATCCCCAGCAGAAAAGTGGGAGAGCCCTCTCCTCCCAGAGGTCGAGCCATAGGATAAGGTGGGAGATATTGCACGAATATTTCGGTGATGATTTCATTGGGCAGCATAAATATATGTCCTGAGGGCCTCATGTTGATCTTCCTACTATGATAACTTGAGTCGTGAAGTAAGTATGGTAGGTAACACTCCGATAGCCTTGAGCAAGAACAGCTTTCTGGAAGAGCAAATAGTAAAACGTCAAACTGCCAGTGAAGATTCCGCGAACCGCGCTGTCTTTAGCAATTTGGACACGGGAGGACGAAAAATGTAGAGTCACGCCGGAAGTCACATCACGACACGCTGTTGTAAGATTCTGTCCAAGATAAACAAACTCAAGCAAACACACTGGCAACTTTCACCTAAGCACTGCTATATATTCCCCGCGACAATGTCTCTCGCTTGCTGTCGCATACGGATATGCATCCGCCACATTTCGTCACGCTCCATGCTCGCCCACTCCCCCTCTTCAGGCAGCGCCAGATCCTCAAATAGAGGCGACAGGTGGTGGCCGCACGTGCATTCATGATCCAGCTCAGCCTGGATGACGATGATGATGCGCTCTTCCGCGCCAAACCACTGCATCAAGTGAGAGACACCGTCTGGGCCCTTCTCGCAACCCAATTCCATTGGGAATGACTCCGCATCGACAAATTGGAGTTCATCGGCAGTCAGCAGACAAGGGCGCTGGTCATCCTTCTGTGGTATGACGTGGAACCATGCAAAGTGCGTGCGCCAGAGAGAGTCTGCCTTGCCTTTGTACAGTTCAAGGCTTTGGACGACCTGGTTATTATCAGTTAACCACATCAATGCAAGCCAAAACATATGTACCGCGTATTTCACAATGTCAATGTTGTTGTAGTACCACTCACGCAATGTCTTGACGGAGACAAAAGACTGGCCACATCGGAGTGCTCGTGCTGCATTGTCCGAATCGTTCTTGGCCTGGCGAACAAGGAACTTGCAGAGCTGCTTATGCATTTTCCAGTGGGCGGTTTGGCACTCGACTCTGTCCCACGTAAGCACTTTTCGGGCACAGCAACAGCATTGACTGACCCACAATAATGCGCCACTTTGCAGGCAGCACAACCCGGCAGACCGTCCCCATTCTGGTCGGGCCGCGCACGGCAATGATCGCACGACTTTTTCAACGGCGGTAGAGCCGGAATCTTGTTCGCAATCGCGCCCATGGTCGTAGCGTGTGCACCATAGCCGTCGCCAGCAGTGTTGACGTATGCGATTGCTGCCCGCGCCTCGGAAGCGTTTTGTTGGTCAGCAGAAAAAGACACCTGCGCTTCTATGAGCAATGAGAAAAGAGTAGTATGGCCTGAGCAGACCTTGACCGTAGAGTCTGTTATCGTCCACCTCGCTCCAGAATCTGGGTTATGGCCTGATTTCACACTGTTGACGGTCCAGGTCGCAGGCATGAGTGGCCGGCAAGAGAGAGAACAGTTCCTGGCAGCCAACGACTAAATCCAAGTCTAAATTATAGCCGGAGCAACCCACCCCGGTTCGAAGAGCCACATCGAAGAACATGCTTCTTGTCGGAGAAGCAGGAGCTGCAGACCATGCGGGCTGACGTGGAATGGCGATTGAGAGGCTGAGTAGTCAGTCTAAACTCGAAAGCACGCAAAAAAACATACCTCTCAGACTTGAGTTGAAGTTGAGTTGAAACCAAGAGGATGCCAGATGGATATCATCGAAAATCATGCTTGAAGGCTAGAACGCGTTACATAAGGTACATCCAAATCGTGTGCCAATCACGCGGAGACAGCTCGTCGGCTTGACGATGTCAATAAGAGTCGGGCAGGTCGGGGAGGCGCTCCACGACAAAAGTCGATAAGCAACTTTAAAAGTGCATAGATTGACGCAAAGGCAATACTGACTCATGCTAATCAGAGTCAGGCTGGATGATTGCGGGATGGGAACAGCTCAAAACAACAGCCAAGTCCCTTGCATATGGTGAGGCGATTGGAGGCCGAATTGATGATACTGATGGACGTTGTCTGATCCCACGCTGTCACGTCGCTTGATTACACCTCTTTCTTTCCCTTCTCCTTCTTGCCGCTTGGGCAGAGCTTTCGACTAGCCCTGGTGCGGTCCTTCACGCTCCTTCCACTGTAATGCACATCATCCCGCGCCGTGTGCCTGCTGGCCAGGCCTCTTCTCCGCAGGCCAAGCGCCTGCCTTCCTCTGGCTGGGCCAATGCCGACAACGACGACGACGCCCAGCTAGCCGCCCGCCAAGTGTTCACCACCGTTACACCTGTGGTATTCACTGGCGAGGGCTTTACCTTCACACTCAATGGCCCTGCGACGTTTACGATCCGCCCTCCAGCCACTACTACAACGACCACACCCGTGGTTGCCAATACCCCTCCCCCTCCGCCCCCACCCCCACCACCAGCTCCTCCCATCGTCTCTGTCTCATCTGGCTTTGTTGCTGCCCCACCAACACAACAAACACCAGTTGTATCAGTGATAAGCCCCAACCCAAGTAGCGACCGCAACAAGTCGAACAACAACACCACTACCTCCAATGCCGCTGCACAGAACAACACCCCTCTGGGCGCCAGCCTCACCAACAAGGGCAGCAGTGTTCCCACGGGGGCCATCATCGGCATCGCGCTCGCCATCGTTCTCCTCATTCTTGCCGCATTCGTCTTCCTTGTCCGCCAACGTGCCATCCGCCAACGCAAACTTCGGCGCGCTACCGCGCCTTGGGCCACTGGTGCTGCTGGGTTTGCCCAGCCTCCACCCATACCTGCAGGCAGCTTTGGCGGTTACGCTGATGCGGAGAAGAGCATGATGGACGACCAGAATCCTGGCATGGCATTTGCACGTGCCCAGGCAGCTGCCCTCAGCGCTCCTCCAATGGCTGTCCCGATGGCTCCGCCCAGCGCATATGGTGCGCCTGCACCTGTTGTGCCGTTGTCTAGCACCGCCTCTGGCACAGCCACGGTCCGTTACGAGTTCATCCCGTCGTTGCCTGACGAGCTGTCGATTGTCACTGGGGAGGTGGTCCGTGTGGTTGCCGAGTACGACGATGGCTGGGCATTGTGTGCAAACTCGCGGAACGAGCAGGGGATGGTTCCTCTTGAGTGTCTCGACCGCAATACTGGTGGTGGGCTACTGCCGCCTGGCAGAAACTCGCGTAGGGGGAGTAGTCTTGGAAATGGTTATTGATGTTGTGGGTGAGCACTAGTTTTTTTTTCTTAGCTGCGGAACTAACGACGACAACAGAGCTGTATATATTTAAATCCTGCTGGACCCTCTGTCGTTGGCCTTTTACCCTCTATCTCCCCCCCTGTGCACTACTTTGTTAGGTTAGGTTAGCCTGTGTGTCCTTGACGGAAATGAACAAATGTCATCCCGCTGTTTCTGGTCCAAGTTGTGGTCGAAAGCTGCGTTGAGCTGTTGGCTAACTTAATGAGAGGTTACTTATAAGCGTTATCTACGCGGGCTACCCGAGACACCGTTTCAATCCCTACTGATGTATGTACTCGATATGTACCCACTCGAGTGATGCGGGAAGAAGAAAAAAGACGACATCCGGAATTAGTGCAGAGTCTGGGCTGGGCAGCCATAGATTCCAGCAAAGTTTTAGTTTTAGTTGAGTCTGAATTGAAAAGGATAGCGACTGCGAAAGGAAAACTTGGATCGACACGCTCTGTCACACGTCACGTTATCACGTTGTTTCTATCCAACCATCCTCCTCCTCTGCGAATCCTCCACTGCTAGTAGCCCTTATTTGGGGTGGTTTAAACCTTGGCCAGTATGAAGTGTAACAATGACGCTGTCCCCTCATTGGCAGACAATAAGCGCCTCGACAAGCTTGGTGAAAAAATTCACAAGCTGGAGCGACAACTCTCCGTCTTGCACGCCCAAGTATCTACCGTTAAGCAACGGATAAACGGCTACGCCTGCTCCATTTCCACCCTCCCTTCCGAAATACTGTCGATGATATTTCTCCACTATCTGCAGGGTCATGACCATCCTGACTATCCGTACATTCCTCTCCGAGGAGACGGCTCCCCGACAACGCTGGCCAGCGTATGCCACCGCTGGCGCAGCGTCGCAAACACCACTCCCCGCCTTTGGTCTGCAATTCGGCTTTTCGACCCCTGTCCCAAACTGCTCCCCCTCGAAGATGTAAAAACGGTCACCGACTTTGCCACTACCTCCCCGAACCGCCCCATTGGCCCCGAAACCGCAGAGCTGCAGCTCAAAATAGCGGAAAAGTGGCTGGAGAAATCCGGCGCGCTTCCGCTCTGCATTCGACTCGGAGACAACCTGAGCAAATACCACGACGACTTTGCGGATGTCCGACTCCGGGCGCTGCGTCTCGTAGTGCGCTACCGCAAGCGATGGCAGTGCGTCTACCTCTGCCTTGCCCTAAGGCCAGAGCTGACTGGCTCTGCCAAACGGCGCAAGCAACTGGTCATTGACGACTGCCTTCCGCTTCTCCGTCAATTTACGGTTAAATTCGGTGGTTATCCGGCATTCCTTGCCGGCCTAAAGGCGCCGTCCCTGGAGCGAAGTGTAATTGGCCGCTGCCAGTTCTCTCCACTACCGTCTCCGCCATTTCTCGCTAATCTGACCCACCTCGAACTGCTGTCGTACAGGCTCCGCCCCGCTACATGGGCGCTTCGATACGCGCATCGTCTGAAACGATGCTGGATAAGCCTCCACCTCAATAATGATTCCGACAACGAAGAGGAGGGCCATGCGGATGACTTCAGAGAGCCGATATGTCTGGGAGAATTGGAGGCGTTCATCATCACGATCCCGGGCGGGCATAAATGCGAGCGCATCTCGGACTTCCTCCGTTTGCTCTTCCTCCCCCGACTGAAGCGGCTCTGCATCGACGAACTCCTCTTGTACCCCCGTCCTATCGCCACTTTGCTCAATCTCAAGCAAAGCGCCGCGTTGCGGCAGTTGGAGGAACTGTGTGTATCCGGTCCACGGTTGAAGGACAGCTTGAACGGGCTTGATTACGCGGCGGCCTTGGATCCGATCCCCTGCGTCTTGCGTTCCGTTGACATAGATGGCTTGGTCAAAGAGTGGGGTTTTGCCAGTTGACCAGTGGAGTGGGAGTAAAAATTTCGTACGGCGCAATCCGAATAATGGCGGTTCAGCACATTTTTTTGTCAGAGACGGGACGAAGATCTCAGGATACGAAGGGATTGCCGACTGAAGCGAAAAAGGCACTTGATGGATGAAGAGATGGACATATGGTCTCTTTGGACGAGTCATAATCAAGGTGAGAGTAAGCCAGGTAGAAACATTCAAACCAATAGTAACCATAGCTGTACATAAGTAACTTACTTGCAAATCGGATTCTTCTGGCAGGCTCAAGCTCTTGCACGTAATTAGGTCACGGGGTGTTGTGCCCATCTTTTCTTCTAAACACCCACTTTCCCCAACTCAATTAGCCGACAGTTTTGTCAACTTTTGTGTTCTATACTCCCTCGAGGCTTCTCGTACCGCTAAAAGAGTCCCCACCGGCCTCTAGGAACTTGAGGCCCTACTCGTCCCAGCGCAAAATTTCTCAACCTATGGCCACACTGCTCCCCGAAAGAAAACGCCTGGAAGAGCTCGAGGAAGAAATCATCGGGCTCGAATTGCGACTATCCGCTCTACGCGACGAGGTTTTCACTGTCAAGCAACGGATGAACAACTACGTTTACCCTGTTCTCACTCTTCCCAACGAGATCGTCTCCATGATATTCCTCCATTATGTACCGGCTTATCCCTGCCGCCCAAGCCTACTTGGGGAAGGATCTCCAATATTCCTCACCAGAATATGCCGCCATTGGCGCGATATTGCGAACTCGACACCGAGGCTCTGGTGCTCCATTCGACTCTTCCAATTCCAAACTATGCCCCGACCGCCTCTCGCATTCGAAGTCCCAAAAGACGTCCCCAGATCTCTCAAACTCGCCGCCGACCGCAAAGCGGCCCGGCTACACTTGGAGATGGCCGAGAGTTGGATGGAGAAATCGGGTGCTCTTCCACTCTCCATTGAATTGTGGGACAACTTGGACGAGTACTATTGGAAGGAATTCAAATTCATCGACCTGCAACTTGAAGCTCTCCGCCTCATGATGCGCTACCGCAAACGATGGCAATTCATCCAGTTTCACCTTCCTGTGGAACCAGCACTGACTGGGAAAGCTAAACGTCGCGACCGGCTGACCATTACTGGCTGTTTTCCGCTTCTCCGTGAACTCCACATTGAATTTGACAAGTACCCGGCTTTCTTGGTTCACATCGAGGCACCCTATCTTGAACGAATTACATTCGACAACACCCAATTGGGCTCACTGTCGACGTTATCCCGACCACCATCGTTATTCAACCATCTCACTCAGCTCATTCTGCTTAGATTCGATCTCTTGAGTGCTGTTTGGGCTCTCCGCTACGCTCCTTGTCTGCAGCGATGTTGGATGAATGTTATCTTTGTCGCCGAGGGCGAGGACCACCACGCTCACTTTGTAGAGCCAGTTTTTCTTGGACATCTGACAGCACTTGCGATCAGGGCGTGGGACGAGCAGTGCGACTATATGTCTGATTTTCTCGGTCTCCTCCGAACGCCTCGTCTGGAGAGACTTTGCATTGAAGAAGATTTTCTCGACCCCGATCCCATCGACACGCTGTCTAATCTAATGGAGAGTGCTTCGCTACAGCTCAAGGAACTTCTCGTCATGGCCATGAAGCGAACCGGGCACAGATATGCACACGCATTCCGCCAAATACCTCGAGTCCGCCACATCATCGATCGCTCCCACAGTCACGACTCTGTCATAGCTGAGGAGTGGGGGTTTTGTGCTGGGTGAAGGGGTGCGCTTTGACTATTAAAATGACCGGTAGAATAGTTTTTGAGACCAAGACTCGAAATGGTATCCATTTCGAGTGACCTTGTCTTGTCATACATGACCAGTAGTAGTAATTAGAAATAAAATGTGTACAAATGAGGGTGAATTCACAGTTGAGCCAGATGGGTATACATAACCTATCTACAACAAGACTTCTAATCAGTCCATTCATTACAGTTGGATAAAGCTGGTGTCAACTCCATGCGAGAAGTCCCAAACACATATCCGTTGGTCCTCGCCACAGCTGACGATCTTCGTCGCATCCATGCCCACACAAAAAATACGCCCCGAATGCCCGCCAGCGAGGTCCGCGACAAGCGCGCCAGTCTGGCGGTCCCAGACTTTGATGGTCAGGTCGTAGCTGCCCGACACAACAAAGTCCTTCCCAAGCGCTACGCTGCGAACGAGGTCGGCATGGACACAGCGCTGTTGCAGCGCGGGGCGATCACACGCGACAGTCGACGACCCACAAGTCGGACACAGGTTGGTGGTGGTTGTGGCGGCCAAAGAGGACGGATGGTGGTGGGGGTTCATTTCGTATTCGGGCGAGGTTGACCACCCGCTGAACGACATGATGTCAAACAGCCGCAGATGCTTGTCTGACGAGCCAGACACGACAAAAGGCGCGACAAAGTCGATTGAGGCGATGCCCCTCGTATGGTGGTTCTCGAAAGTCCGCAGCAATTTGCCAGTTGCAGCATCCCATAACCGAACAGATCGATCGCCTGAGCCAGAGACGATGAGTGTGTCGGAGAGCGAGACGGCGTTGACGGCGGCCCGATGAGCGCCGAGCACGTGCTGGGGCTCCAAGTCAGGAAAAGAATAAGTGCGAACGGTGCGATCTTTAGAACATGAGACGAGTCTGTTTCCATCCATTCGGACACACAAAACGCTGTCTTCATGGTCTGCGATGACCTTGACGAGCGAGTTGGTAGTGAGATTCCAGACTGCGACCCGTCTGTCGCTTCCCGCACTGGCAATGTAACCATCGTGGACACAAATGCTCAGAACAGAGCTAGCGTGGACCCCTTCAATGACTCTTTCCACTAATCCAGTTGTGAGATTCCATTCCCTCACTGTGCGATCGCGCGAGCCGGTAAACAACACCTGGACACCCGTTGCGGGGTCTGTGTAGAGTTGGAGGCAGTAAATAGTCGTTGTGTGTGCATTGGACGGCCCCCCACGCGTTTGGATTGCCGACAAGCGATATGAGCCTGCTCTGACGCGGTTTGTCAGCCGAGTGTGTGTCTGGAAGAGCCGTTTATAGTCTGGGCGAAGAACAGTTGACTCGGCCAGTGCAGCTGGGGCGGAATTGTGGCGGGTGCGCGATTTCGGGCGTGGAATCTGTCTCAGGACAGATTTTGAGGAAGATGACGAAACGGCCATTGAGGCAAAGCCCGAATCGAGTTCCGTCTGCATGAGTGTCCATTCCGCCTTGGCAGTCTCCACCGGGTCTTCTTCTTCGTTTTCACTTTCCTCGTCCGAGTCGCCCATACCCTCATCGTCTTCCCAACCATTGCTGTTATTGCGTGGCGTGTCAAACGCGTGCACCCGCGAGGGCTGTTTCCATGCCCAGCCTTCGGTCGCACAGAGCCGCTTCCACAGCGCTTGGTCATCCGCCAAGGCGCGCCATCGTCGACTAACCAAAGCACACGTGAGGAGCGAGGGGGCGGGGAGGTGGGAGAAGATTTGCAGCGAGACTTCTGCTGGAAGGGACTGTTTTTTTTGTGATTAGGTCAAAGCGATAATGCCAAAGTGAGGAAGCTGACCCCGACAACGTCAAACTGCAGCAACGGCGCCAAGCGTCGTTGGATTGTAGCGAGGCGGGAACGGGGGAGGGAAACGAGGAGTTTATAGGCGAGTTCTACCCACAAAAAGCTTGAGAACGATGAGGAAAAGCAAGAGGCAAGCCACGAACCTTCACACTCCTTCTCCGACGTCATTCTTGCGAGGAGCTCTTCTGGGCTGGGTGGCAAAACGTCGCAGTCATCGGTAAAGCCCTCGTCAGTATGTGGCATGTCTTGCTCTCCTTCGTTTCCTTCTTTCGCTGCTTTCTTCCACAAGAGATGACGGTGGAGTGGAGAGAGGAGGACTAGCGCATAGATCTGCGTCCGTAAGTGCGTGCTATGGAGACGGGGTAAGACAACGGTTGGCGCTGGCGGTCTGTGCGGTCTAGACCGTTGTGTCATCGAAATGGAATTTGAAGAGAAGTTGATGGACCAATCACAGCCCGCGAATGACGCTGGCCAATAGGGTAAGCATATTCGTCAGTCGCCGCGGCAGACTTCTTGGATTCTTTCTTCTGCAACCATGAAGCAAACCCCCAAGTGTTGCTTGCCTCTGTCCTGATACCTTCAAGTCATCCTACCATGTTGTCGCTCATTGGTTTCACGTCGCCACCATGACCAGTGGATCACTAGCAATGTATACCTGTTTGCTTTTTGCGGCTTGCCTACCCACGCTCATGCCCTAGTTTAGGAGTATTGACTTCGGCTGCTTCTCCTGTGGCTTTTTGCGCATTTTTCACTGAGGCAAGAGGCTCGGGTGCTGAGTTCCAATCAAGTCTTTCCGAATCGTTGGTGCTTTTCTCTTTTGCATACCATGCTGCATTGCTGCCTCGCGATCAAGAATGCAGTGGGGCCCAACGCCGGGCTTTCCTGGATGCATTATTACAACGGCATCGCGACATATGTTTACTGCGTCAATGGCATCCCTACTCTACCAAGTTTTCGCCTCCACCGTTGCGCGATGGGGCCTTCACGTTGGACTTTTTTTGTAACAGTTACAGTATATTCGAGGACTTGGCGCTGCCGGAGGCTGTGGGCGGGTATGTAGGAAGACAATATGTGGCGAACGCACTACTACTGGTCATATAGCTGAAAATCTATGACCTTGTCTTGTTACCCGAAATGGCATGAATACCACTTCAAGTCTTGGTCTCCAAAACTATTCTACCAGTCATTTTGATAGTCAAAGCGCACCCCTTCACCCAGGACAAAACCCCACTCCTCAGCTATGGCAGAGTCGCGATTATGGGATAAATCGATATCGATGACGCGGCGGACTCGAGGTATTTGGCTGAATGCACGTGCGTATTGGGGCCCGGTTCGCTTCGGGGTTATGACGAGAAGTTCCTTGAGCTGTAGCGAGCCACTCTCTATTAGATTGGACAGCGTGTCGATGGGATCGGGGTCGAGAAAGTCTTCTTCAATGCAAAGCCTCTCCAGACGAGGCGTTCGGAGGGACCCGAGAAAATCAGACATATAATCACACTCGCCCATCCACAGCCTGATCGCAAGTGTTGTCAACTGTCCAAGAAAAACTGGCTCTATGAAGTCCGAATGGTGGTCCTCGCCCTCGATGACGAATGTAACATTCATCCAGCATCGCTGCAGACAAGGAGCGTAGCGGAGAGCCCAAACAGCACTCAAGAGATCGAATCTAAGCAGAATGAGCTGAGTCAGATTGTTGAATAACGATGGTGGTCGGGATAACGTCGACAGTGGGCCCAAATCGGTGTTGTCGAATGTCGCTCGTTCAAGATGGGGCGCCTCGATGAGAACCAAGAAAGCCGGGTAATTGTCGAATTCAATGTGGAGCTCACGGAGAAGCGGAAAACAGTCAGTAATGGTCAGCCGGTCGCGACGTTTAGCAACACCGGTCAGCGCTGGTTTCACAGGAAGGCGAAACTGAATGTATTGCCATCGCTTGTGGTAGCGCATTATGAGGCGTAGAGCCTCAAGTTGCAGGCCCATCAGATTGTAATAATCGCCGTAGTTGTCCACATCTACCCCCAGTTCGATGGAAAGCGGAAGAGCACCAGATTTTTCCATCCATTTCTCGGCGAGCTCCAGGTGTAGCTGGGCCGTTTTGCGGTCGGCGGCGAGTTTGAGAGATCTGGGGACTTCGGATGCGAGAGGCGGCCGGAGTATAGTTTGGAAGTGGAAGAGTCGAATGGAGCACCAGAGCCTAGGTGTCGAGTCTGCAATATCGCGCCAATGACGACATATTCTGGTGAGAAGTATGGGAGAGCCTTCCCCAAGTATGCTTGGGCGGCAGGGATAAGCCGGTACATAATGGAGGAATATCATGGAGACGATCTCGTTGGGAAGAGTGAGAACAGGGTAAACGTAGTTGTTCATCCGTTGCTTGACAGTGAAAACCTCGTCGCGTAGAGCGGATAGTCGCAATTCGAGCCCGATGATTTCTTCCTCGAGCTCTTCCAGGCGTTTTCTTTCGGGGAGCAGCGTAGCCATAGTTTGAGAAACTCTGTACGATGTGCCGCTGGGACGAGTAGGGCCTCCAGTTGAGCTAGAGGCGGTTGAGGACTCTTTTAGCGGCACGAGAAGTCTCGAGGGAGTATAGTATAGTGCACGAAATTGCCAGCCAATGGGTCAAGCTAGGTGGTTGTTTCAAAGAGAAGATGGGCACGTGACCTAAGCTTTTTTTTTTTTTTTTGAATCAGATTTATATTCCGCGGGCAAGTACGCTACAGCTACTAAGGCGCGGTGCTCGTATGAGCAGCCATCGGGGGTGTCGGGCATGGTGGCGGAGCCGTTCCGCTTACGTGACCTAAGCACCTCTTGCTCATCCTTGCTCATCCGAACCCCAAGAAAAATCTATTGCTGCCCTCGTCGTCGTCAAACCTCGCGAATATTCCGTATGCCACAAGGCTGAGAGTCAGGAGAATAGGTTGCGTCGTTGCTCACGGGTACGTGGAAATCGAACCACGAAAAGGTGGGGAAATATCGACGCGCTGCAGTGCGGGGTTATAGAATATTGCTCCAAAGAGGTGAGTAAAGCCCAGTTTGGCCAGCATATGTTTCCTCATCACCGCAGTGCCAAAGGGCTAATTGGTGCGTACTCCCATGAATCCACGAGTATGAGTCCCGCCACTAAACGGTTTTCGAGTTCTCAATACCGACTCGCAGGAGGTCGCACAAAGCCGAATGCCATCAAGACAACGCTTCGCTCAGTATCTCAGTCATCGCAGAAAACCTCTATACGAACCCGTTGGTAAACCATCACCTTCGAGTTTGTTTTGTGGATGCCTGTGGATGCTTTCAATATGCTCTCTCTTCCCGCGTCCCGTCTTTCTCGCGAGCCGTTTGTTGCGGTAGTAGACATTCTTGTCGAGCCGGCTAAGGACGAAGACCTCACTGCCTTGGTCTCCGCGCTGAAAAGCGAACAGCAAACAACGTGAAAGTTCGGAGAGCCCTCTACCAGGTTGCGGCGACGCCGCTTATTCACACGTTCGAGCCGCAAACCCAGCGTTTCGTCGGAGCTCAGACACGTTCTGCTGCCACATCCCGGCTGCGACTTTGGATGTGATGCGAATTCAAGAGGAAATTGGCTGAAATTGGTAAAATATGGAGAGCAGAAACAGGCCTTGGCGGGAGTCGTCCCAAAGATGCTAGTATTCGGTACGAATTCAAGTCGTTGCCGACACAACCTCTGGCACTGGCACTGATAAAATGACACGGCAGCTTCTCCGATTTCTTGCTCAAGGACGATGCATCGAAAGATAATGAATTTGGTCTCCGCACGCCTTTGTCGACGAGGGACATCCAGGTCATTAAAGATTACGCGCAAGGAAGGGATCAAACACTGCGCAGAGCTATTCAATACTAGCGGCGGACGACGAGGCAGAAAGCCGATCGCCGACTGCGTTTACTCATCTAAGCGACTACGGCCAATTGATGCTGGTCAGGTAGGTTCGGTAGCCAGCGTTACCGGCAAAGTCGCTGAATAACAATCCTGATGGAGAGTTGCCGTCGCGTGCAAAGACTTGTCGCTTATAGCAGTAGATCGAGGATGAAACACGGAAGCTTCAGTATGTTATCAGGTATCGATAAACCACTCCCTCTTGCTCACACTTTGCCAGCTGGATGTAAAGTCTAAATCCTCGAGTCCTAGCACTTGTAACTTGTCTTTTCAAAATCATGGGGTCGTGGATCATTCTCTGATGGCAAGACTGATTCCCGTTGACACGTTGACGATGCATCATGTGCGGGCAGCGCCAGCGACCGACGATCACGATTCATTGCACATTTGCTTGTCGGGTGAAATTCCTTCCCAACTCCTATCAATCAAAAGCATGGCGGGGAAACGGGCCTGACAACCGACTATTTAACGCTGAGTTGCGTGTTTTGCTCGTCGTTCTCTTTCCTTTTTTCTCCCTCCTCCTTTTGGTTCTCTTCCTTGGTCGTTGAACGGCCCTCGTTTTTTTTTCGGTTTCTCTGGTCGGCTTTTTCATCATGCTTTTTTCACTTGTTGTTCTCGTCCCTTTCATAACTGTAATTAATGCGAAGAACGACTGGACGGTGCCGTGCACGAATGGAGAGTGTTCTTACGGCAAGTAATCCGCTGTTTCTTTTGTGGCTTGTTCTCACCTATCACGAAACAGACCTGAATTCCTCCAACGCTACTGCTGCAGGCACTCTTCGTATCTGGGGGTCCAAGGATGCCATTACGGACATCACCAAAGCAGCAGGTTGGGAGATTCTTGGCTGCGACCCTGCCGCCCTCTCTCAAGACATCCGTCTCGTTTGCACGACCGAAGACGACCCCAACTCCGAATGTGGCCATCTCTACCAAAACATCGGAGCCGTGAACAAGCTCGTTCGCTTGCCAGAGGCCGTATGTCGTCTATCAGCTTCCTTTCCTTAGCCCCGTAACATATTGATGACAGTGTGGTGGTAGCGCATTCGCGCGGATCGCCCGGGCTTGGGAGCCCGCCGACCAATCCATTCCTTCCCAACTGCAATCGCGTCTTGTGCGTCGCGATGGCACGGTCCCTGTGGTCAAAGCTCTGCGTCTTGATACCAACTTCGACTTGGTTGACTACTCCCAGTATGTTGTCCCGTTCCGGATCAAAATACACCTTGGTTGATGGCACCAATAGAACCGGTGTTGTCAACATCGAAATCTCTAGTCTTGCTGGTGCTGAGGAGTTGGAGGCTCGTCAACTCAAACCTATCTCTGGTGGTGGCGTTGCTGCGCCCGGTGCGTTCATATCAAGATCTCATTGAATGTTAATTTAACTTTTTATCAGTCGTTTCAACGGGAGGAAGTGCTGCTGGAGAGATTGCTCAACCCGGCGGAAGCGCCGCTGGCTCTCTTGAAGTTGTAGCCGGCCAGGGTACGCTATTTCCCCCATCTTAAGCTACTAAATTGAACTCCCTTACAGCCCCCAAGGACGGCAACGTTGATGTTATCAAGAAAGCCTTCAAACTGACGCCTTTGGCGTTCAACAAGAAGGTCAGCCTGGTCAGCCAGACCGCGAAATGTGGGCCCGCCACTGCGAAGCTCGCCGTCGATTTGGCTGCTAATGCCAAAGCTGATGCGTCCATCACCGTCTCGGCCAAGGGTACCGTTGTCCCTCCCAACGTCTGTTTCTTTGTTTTCGTGTCTCTTTCGATGGCTTAAACTTACTCTAGCTCTCCGACTTCGCCCTTGTCGCTGGTGTTAGTGCCAACATCGGTGGAACTGTCACGATGGTGGCTGGTCTTTCTGGCCGCATGGACTCTGGCAAGATCAACCTCCTCAACCAAGCTGTCACTGGCCTCAACTTCCCCGGTGTCCTCACCGTTGGCCCCGTCTTCAGAATCGATGCGCAGATGGTTGGCGATGTCCAAGTGCCCATGAACATGAACGTTGGAATCAACTTTGCCATCAAGAACGCACAACTCGCTTTCCCCCCCTCCGCTGGAGGCAAGCCAGCCACTAGCGCATTCAGCGTTGGAGACATGCGTCCGTGCACCCTGTTTGTTCTATGCGACGAAACATTGACCCCTGTTTTTCCAGCGCTTACTATCAACGCCGAGGCTGGAGTTAAGGCAACTGGAACCGTCACCGCTCACATGATCCCCTCGCTCCAAGTCGCCGTCAACGCCCTCGGAGGCCAGGCAACCTCGCAAATCTTCATCGACTTCGATACCAGCGCGTCGCTCACCATGGGTCTCGATGCCAACGCCTCCGCCAAGAAAACTGTCGACGTCAAATCCGCTGCCAAATCCGCCCTCGCAACTAAGAGCACCGCCTCTGCTGCCAAAACAGCTGCGACTCCCCCAGCCGGTGTGGTTTGTGCACGTCAGGGAACCAAGGGTGTCACTGCCTGTGTCCTCCCGAGCAAGAATGCGGCCAAGTCCGCTGCTGCGAAGAAGCCTGCCGCATCGAAGGCCGTCACTGCCAAGGTGTGTTGTCTGATCTTATCTTATGCTCGATCTAAATGTTTTGTTGTAGAAGGCCGCTACTTCTGCCAAGGCACGACAACAACACCTTCTTCTCGATGTTCTTACTGATCATGTTAACAGAAAGCTGCCCCGAAGAAGGCTGCAACCAAGAAGACTGCAACGAAAGCTGCAACCAAGAAGACCGCAACGAAAGCTGCTGCTACAAAGAAGACTGCAACAAAGAAGACGGCGACTAAAGCTGCTACAAAGAAGACGGCGACAACTGCCAAGGTTTGTTGTCTATTTGTTTTGTGCGTGATTTTCTGAGACGCTCTCCAGAAACCCGCCACCAAGGCCACCGCGAAGACTGGCACTACTGCTGCTGTGAGTTGCATCTGTGAATACCGGGCATATTTCTCATAGATTTGATAGAAGAAGCCAATCAAGCTACCCGTCGTCAAAAAGGCCGGCGTCAAAGTCCAGCGACCTGTTGTGAAGAAGACCGCCGCAAAGAAGCCCGCGACCGCTGCCAAGAAGCCAGCCACCGCTGCCAAGAAGCCAGCCACCGCTGCTGCCAAGAAGCCTGCGGTTGCTAAGAAGGCCGTTGCTACCAAGAAGGCGCGTGACTTTGAGCTGTTCGAGGAGCCAGAGTACGAGCTCGAGGCACGCGAGGAGGAATTCGACGAGGAGGAGATTGACCTTGACGCACGTGAGGAGGAATTCGACGACGAGGAGCTCGAGCTTGAGGCACGTGAAGAGGAATTCGATGACGAGGAACTCGAGCTCGAAGCACGTGCTGCCGACGATGCTGCTGCGAAGGACGCCAAGGCCCCCAAAGCACCTGAGCCCGCCGCCCAAGCTTCGTTCTCTGGCTGCGTCAAGGTCAACACTGGCCTCGCCATCAACGCTGGTGCCTCCGCCAACTTCTTCAGTTCGTTGACCTTTTTTTCCCACTGAGCGCAGTCACCTAACGTTATTCTAGGCCTCTTCAGCAAGAGCACCAAGGCCAACCTCTTCACCAAGAACTTCGCCGTACTTAACAAGTGCTTCAAGAAGTCCACCGTCCCCGAGCCAGAGAAGACGGCCGATGCTGCCAAGAAGGCGGCCCGTGAAATCCGCTCGTACCCGCGTACTTCCCGCTTCGAGCGCATCCAACGCGCTACTCTGGCTTGCCCAGTTAGCGCCTCGCCCGTTCTCAAACCCGTCACCGCGGGCACTGTCAGCTCTGCCAGCATTGTGTAGTCATCTGTATAATCGCAACCAGAATATTAATTGCAAGAGAAAACCAGAAAGTGTTGAGTGGCTGGATAGTCTAAGATCATCTAAACGTGTTGAAGGGGGGATTATGTCGATACACAAAGGAAACTGGTCTCTGAGATGAGTGCAAGAAGATGGCAGAAAAAGCCTCAATCCATATCATTACAGTAAGTAGCTAGGTCTCTGAAGACATCTAACTACCGCATATACCAACAGATTACTGTAGTTTAATTATTCATAGCGAGAAAGAGAAGTCAGCCACTTTGATAACCCCACCTACAAGATGCAGAGTCGCAGACTACCAGTTCAAGTAACACAGGTCAAATCAATACGATCGTTGGCACTGAGTTGTTCCATTCAAGTTGAGATAGTACAGAGACATTTGAGGTTACAATTCCATGGTAGACCTTGCAAGTACATTTGACGTTCAATGTTTCCCTTTGTCTTTATTTTTCTTCGCGATAAGATGCTCTGGACGAGGCGACGCAAAGCTTGCGGCCTTGGCCTTGGCAACAGTCGCGTCGTCTGGCGCGTTGGGTGTGAAGAGGTCGTTTCCGATGGCAGTGGAGTCCCAGTTGTTGGCCGGCGTCGTGCTCGAGGTCAGCAGCCACTGCGTAACGATGGTGTTATCGTCAGCAGTGTCACCAGGGTAAAACTGCCCGCTCCAGGTTGTGGTCGAATTCGCGTCGCGATAGCCATTCTTCCATGCGACTGCCCAGCCAAGGGATACGCCTTCACCGTCAGGAGGGGTGGTGTCGAAGCGCCCAGTGAGGACGTATTCAAATTCGGCGTCTCCGACCGCCGAGTTGTATGTCCCAGTAAGACCGCCATTTTCGTCTGCGGTAAGGGACATGACAGAGCCGAGCTCGTTGTACCAAGTCCCGGTAAGCTGCGTATAGTCAAATGCCATGATTCAACAGTCGTTATCCTATGAAGTAAGACTTAGCCAGACGACAAGGTCTGGGAAAGAGTCCACACCGTCGATGTTCCTCTGACTTGGGGTAAGAAAGAGGGCAGATGTGCTTGAGAGCCGAAACAAGCATTTATCTATGTGCCCTTCATTCCAGGGTGACACGCAGCTCGCACTAAGAAACGGGATTCGCACTGTCAGAATGCGTCCCAAAATAAAACCCAGAACAGAGCCGGACTCACCGCGAGAGCGACGGATGTCGATTCTATTGGAGGAGAGCCTGCCCTGTCCATCCTGAAGTTCTGATAGACGGATCTTTGCCAGCCAATCAGACTAACGAGCAGGAACCGTCTGCGAACTCTGCTGCTACTATGGTCCCGGGCCCAGTAGCCACGCCGCCCCCATAGTGCAGCAATTAGTCTAGTTTCGGATCTCGAGAAGCTGGGACAGGCTTTAAATATATGCGCAAAGTGGTATGTCCGAGAGAGTTAATGTTCAAGGAGTTTGTGAGCAGGTGTAGTGCAGCGGTGTCACGGGTGACGGGTCACACGGCCCGGGTGTGACGCGACCGACTTCAATCTGGTTCATACAACCACACAACGAATTGGCACACTTCCGACTGACTTGAACTCAGGAATTGTTTCTCCAATATCACTTCCAAGCTATCGGGTCGTAAATCACCTTTAGGCTGTTGTCTGCCCTCCGTATATGAACATCTATACTAGTATGTCAGGGTCGCCGCAATTTCCGAAGACTATACGCATTTTGAGACATGGGCAAGCCTTGCATAAGTGCGTATAAGACCTCTTGCATTTCGTCATGACATATGCGCGCGCTAATATACTGGAACAGCGTACAGCGTGGCTATCCTCACCGCGATCCGCCACTGACTGAGCAAGGCTTCGCTGAGGCAGCGTTTGCTTCGAAAGAGCTATCCAACAACCTGCCTGAGCTCGTGATATGCTCTCCAATGACGAGAACTATCCAGACAGCTCTTACCGCCATCCCGAGTCTTTCCTCGACCAATACTTCAAATTCTGTCAGTGGATCCGAATCGAGCAATCCGCGTTTAGAGATCTGGCCGGACTTGCGGGAGGCGCATGACGCTATTTGTAACCTTGGTGTCCCCAAAACACAGCTTGCCAACGCGTTCCAGGCGCAAATAGCCCTCGATTTGACACGATGCAGGGAAGAATGGGACTATGAAGCTCACTCGGAGGAGGCGGCAACGATACGCGCATTACGTGTGCGTGAGGAGCTTTCGACGAGACCCGAGAATAATATTCTGCTTGTGACGCATCGAGCATTCATCAAGTACCTCGTGGACAGCTCGCGGTTTGAGAATGGTGGTAAGTCACGAGGGTCCAACCGTCCAAGTACTTGGTGCGGGCTTCTTAATCACGGTACAGAGATGAGGAGCTTTATTCTGCAGTCCGACACATTGCTATTGCCAGCGCCCTCAACTCATCAAATGGTCTCCGAGTCAAGTGATCCAGACTCATCCGGCTCCTCCCAGTAATCATCCAGCTTCCATATAGTGCCATTGTAGATGACAGAGTGCGTAGAATGGAATACGTGAATGTTCGGAAACGCTGCAGCCCAATCGGCAACAGTATAAAAACCTATGTCCGCTCTCAGATGCCGCAACGAGCATGCGGACCGTGAAATCAAAGAGCGAATGGCCTCCACGGAGTTCTGGTTGTCGTATGGTAGTAGGCAGCCTGAGATTTCGAGTTTTTGGAGAGAAGGCAACGTGAGGTTGGCCAAGACATTGTTTTCCGAGTCCGGATCGTGAGGGCGAAACGGATCAAGTAAAACTAAGATTTCGACTCGAGGGAGCGTCAACGGCACACCCTGTGGTTGACTTACGCCACTTATGTCTTTGAATACCAGCCTGCAATACCGTAAACTCTCGGCTTGCGCCAGGACCGGAATGCAGGCAGTCATGGCGACGTAGTAAAGGACCACAGTCGTTAACTGGGCCCACGGTATGGATTGTGGGGTGAAGCGTACATCCCCGACACAAATAGAACGCAACCGAGGAGCGTTATGGAAAGATATGCTTGTTGGGCCAGGTTCTGCCTCCCAGTCGGCGTCAGATCCCCATGATGCGATGTCCGCTTCAACCAGAGCTGGGGCTTCCCCGCTGATACAAGCGATTTCGGCGTCATAGGAGGAAGCCACACGAAAGTGTATGTATTCCCAGCGTTTTCGGTGCGCCAGAATGGTTTCGAGAAGTGGTGTGCCGTCGTGTTGAGGCCCGAATGGCTCAAAATCGAAATTCAGAGAAAGGAAACTGCTGCCAGACCGCTGAAGCCAGCTGTTGGCAAGCTCTGCATCAGCGTTCTCTATGTCCATCTCTAATGCGCGCCACAAGGTCGGGCTTTTGAGAGCAATCTTCCGCCAGAGACGGTATATACCAAGGAGGTGTGTAGGCGAGCCTGGACCGGTGAGAGGGGGACAAGATGGATATTCCGGAAGGTATTGCGAGAAAATTTCCGTGATAATTTCGTTGGGGAGCGAAAGTACTGGATATTTGTACGCTTCAAGGCGTTGGCAAATTTCAGCGCGTTTCGATTCAAGAGCGTTGAGGTGTGCTTGGGCGTTTGCTATGTCTTCCTCGACTTCTTTGAGAAGTAGTCGGTAGGCAGGAAGATGGTGCGCATCCATTCCAAGCAAAGATAAATCTCTTTGAAGGTCGTCGCGGTCACGCGTTGTCACTTGTTTGTTCATGTTGATTTCTCACTCCTTCGCCTCCCGTTGATCAACTACGTCAGTCTTGCATCCACTTCTCCACCTTCATTTAAGGCGGACAGTTCAGGGTGTGGCCCCCAAGAATGAACAACCACGAAGGAGCCTCGATTTCTCGCGCTACATCCCTCTCTCGAGCCAGTCGCCCTGGCTCATCGCTCTCCCGCAACCAATCCCTCATCAAGAAGAACGTTGCCCCACACGACCTCCGCCCGTCTGACATCCTCATCGAGCGATTCGTGGCATGGAAGGCCATCGTCAAGCAACTCATAGCCTACTTCGAGGGAATCGCGGACATTCACAACAGCAACGCCAAAGAACTGACCAAACTGGGTGCAGTTATCCAAGTACCCTTTCGCGCGGGCAACCAGTTTCTGGGTGAGGGCGGGCTTCAGGTGCGCTGATAGAGTAGAGAGGGAGTGCTTACTGACACAATCAAGGACATATACTACGATATTCGAGACAAGACTCGTGCTATTGCCGACCAGCATGCTAATCTTGGTCGCACAATCGACAGTTCCATCGTCCAACACCTGGAAAAGCTGAGAACTGAAATCAAGGCACATTTGAAGGTGTGTCTCGGTGTCTTGTGAGATCCTCAACTCAATAATCCAAGAACATCCAAAACGACACTGGTAAACTAGCCAGCAATGTCGCAAAGGAGCGTGAATTGTCTACGCGTCTCATCTCCGAGCTCTCCAGCGGCATTTCTTCCTTCAAGAACACGCCAATGGCAGTCACGAACAAGACAGACCCCTACGTTATCAACCAAGCTGTCGTTCGACAGTTGACCAAACAAGTCCACGAGGAAAACCTGCTCCAGAAATCGATCATCATCATGCAACAAAACAGCGCCCATTTCGAAGAGGGTATCGTGCGCGCAATCCAGTCCGCTTGGCAAACTTACGACGAATGGCAAGCTCGGATGGGAACTTCGATTGCGACAACCCATTCAGAACTAACAACCCATATGGCGTCGCTGGCTCCGGATCGAGAATGGCTAGCGTTCAGCGGGAGAGCAGACCACCTCCTTGACCCCGAAACTCCTCTACGGAACCCGTCTACCATCGTCTACCCAAGCAAAGACGACCCGAGTGTCGCCCCAGTCCACGCAGGTTTACTTGAACGCAAGAAACGCTACACGAGAGCGTACAAGGAGCATTACTTTGTGCTTACCCCTGCTGGCTTTTTACACGAATATGCCTCCTCCGACCCCGTCAATGCTCGAGAGCCGCTCTTTTCTCTGTTCCTCCCTATGTGTACGCTTGGACCACCCAGTGGAAGCAGCGCCAAATCCCACAAATTCCATATCGAGGGCAGGAAAGACGGTAGCGGTACAACCAAGAGCGGCAGCATTCGGCGAAGCTTAAGCCTCGGTCGCCTGGGCGGCAATGATCATGCCTGGAGTTTCCGCGCGCGGAGTCGGGAGGAGATGATGGAGTGGTGGAACGACGTGCGAATGCTTTGTGCGCGGTATCTGGTGGCGAGCGAGCAGATGGAGCGGAGTGGGCCCGTGGCTGCTGCGGTCAGGGCTGCTGGTTATCTGAGCGAAGATGAAGAAGGTAGTGATGAAGGCAGTAGTGTTGAGGAGGAAGATGAAGAAGATGGGCTCGAGTATGCTGATGCTGAAGCAGACGGACCACCGAGTTATTCGACACCCCACCAGGCTCTAGTTATGGGCGCCAATGGATATCCGGTTAGTTCTCTGACCAGTTCACCGCCAAGCACTAACGAAATGCAGATTGACAAAAAGAATGGACACAGTCGGCAACCGTCCAATGCAGATGGCGCCACAGTTTCGCGTCGTCCGAGCAAACGCCAACAGGAAAAGGCGCCCGAGGGTCGAGAGCCACATCCTGCGGGCGAGGCAGATGAAGAACCAGTGATGCCTGGTGGGGAAAGCCGTTTCAAGGAGAATGTTTGAAGGATTAGTTGGGTGTTGTGAGTCTATGGGACATGAAGTTTACCTGTTGCGTTTGTATTCTACTTCGTTATTTTCAATGGTTTTGAAAGTGAACCGAGCACTGGCCAGGAAAAAGATACTAATGCTGAGAAATGTGAAGTAGTATTGACCACTAGAGGTCGTTCACTAGTATAAGTACTTATCTGAGGAGAATATGAAGTAGGGCCAATTGGCGCAATAAATTATTATGCAGTACCATAGCGGAACAGGATTTCACGCCCAAGGTCCTCCCCATGCTTCTATACTTGGTTTCCAGGTTCCATAGTTCGCATTGAACTCTAGCTGTTTGATGCTCGGGAATGCTTCGCGATATTCCTCCTCGGAGCCAATTACGGCGTGCCGGATTCCGAGCCCCTCCAGCTGACACCCAAGTCCCGCCAAGGTGCTAGCGAGTCTTGCCAGCGGATCCGGGGTGACCATGTCCTCTTTGAGGGCCAGTTTCTTGAGAGCGGGAACACGCAGTGCAGCGAAAAAGTCGTGACACGAGTGTGCACTTCCGGAGTCGAGTATCATCGTGGTCAGATGCGGAAGCTCCATGGAGCAGACCGTCTTGTCGTCGACGCTGAATATGTAGTCAAATATTAGGAAGAGCCAACATTCGCGGAGTTGTTTGGTCTGTTGCAATATCTGAGCAGCTGATGGAGGCGAGATTGGGTCGAGGCGCAGGCGGGTGAGATGTCTGTAGTTCACTATTTGCGGATGGAGGGAAGAGATATCAGAATCCTCATGGTGGAGGTGGAATATGACAGTGAAGCTCAACAGACGGGGGGCACTGGCACCAAGATGACCGATCTTGCGGTAATCACAACAGTCGAGATGAAGTCCCTCCAACATCGGCATCTCACCCACCAAGTCGGGGAGGGCGCTTCCCATCTGGTAAAGATACGGCTGCCTCCATTTGACATGTTGCCACCGCGAAGAATGACCGAGCAGCGCATGACATAGCTTGGCAACTTGGTGGTATCTATTTGAACCGTCTTGCGGATCGATATATGCGCCTAGTTCCTCGGGCAAGCAGATGGAAAGCGGAAGAGAGCGGGATTTGTGCTCAAGCCACTCCATCACGATCTCCAGCAATTGTGGTCCAGCAGACATGCCTGGCGGGCATTCCGGAAGCTGAATCGCCCGCCAAAGGTCGCCGGTGGAATGTGCGACCTCCCGCCACCGGCGACAAACTTGGGTCAGAATGGTCGGAGACCCGTCACCAAGCAAAGGAGGACATTCCGGATATGGGGGGAGGTATTGCTTCATTATTTCGAGAATGATTTCGTTCGCGAGCGTCAGGAAGGGGTATCGATAGACTGCCAGTCGCTGTGTGACTTCTACGCGTTCGGAGCGCAGTGCTTCCAGTCTCCGGAGTACATTATCCGTTTCTTCGTCAATTGCGTGCAGCCGAGCGCGGTCGGCTGCTCGATTGGCTGCGGTTGAGACAAACTTCTCGGTGTTTGGTATGCCGTTTACGAGTGGATGAGGCGCCATGTCGGTGGTTGGCACAGACCGAGTCCACTTGCGGTCGAGTTAAGCTAAAGTCTTTTGAGTTGGTGTGGTTATGTTAGGAGTATGAGGGTCACGATCATTTCCAGACCGTGACAGCGCACGTGCCCGTGCCATTTAAAAAAAATCAGTTGCTGAGTACCGATTCTGTACGAGTAATATGACTATTTGAATAGTACAGCAGTTGTTTTGGAAGTTGCCGAACTTCGACTAGTATGGGAGAGTTATTCGGTCAAAGTACTGATCCATCGATTGTCCGATTACAGGCTCTGGTGGTCCGCTGACTTTGGTAATCTTCGGAATATGTGGCAGCAGAACTCGCAGCTCTTCCGCCAAAATCACGAAAGGCTTGGACTGTCCCATGAACTGCAGATGTTGCAGCGGGCACTGGGAGTTGCGGAGAAACGCATTTATCACGTCCATGGGGTTGGGCTGCAGGAAGACAGCATGGATGTGTACGCGTTTGAGTGCGGGACCCACGATTTTCTGGAGGTAACCGGGTGCAAGGGGGAGGGATCCTGGATTGGCATCAAAGACCAGAATGAAGGTTTCGAGTCGAGGAGGGAGATGAAGGGCTGCTGGGAGGATGGTTTTTTCCCGCTCTAGGTGCACATAAAAGTGTCGAAGATTGACAGCATCACGAAGAATCGGAAGACAATCCTCGATAGCATGGTTCAGGTTCAAGCTGGTGAACTGAGCCCATTGAATATTGTTGGGTCCCATCGCAAAAGTATCTGGGAATCGCGGAATACTGAGGAATAAAGATCTGAGCATTGGAGCATTCGAAGGGGCCGCGGAGACCGCGACACTATGAAAGGCCCAGAGCTCTCGAAGCAGGGGAAGTGGCCCAGCGAGTGCAAGAGGGGTTTCGTTCGATTCGACTGCCGCGACGCTGGTCATAGTAAGAAATTCCCAGCGATGCTGGTGGAGTCGTAGCAGCTTCATGACATCAGTTTGGTATTCAGGATTCTCGTCAGGTTGAGGATCGAAGGAGAGCGACAAGCCGCAGGAAGCAGAACGGCCCAACCAAGTGTTAATTTCCGCGAGAGTTGTGGCAGCATCGGGTACCGTCTGGTTTGGCCGGAGACGGTACCGGGGTGGTGGCCCTTGACAATCTATGGCGCGCCAAAGTTGGGGTGTGTGAAGCGCAATCTCTCGCCAGGCATGACAAATACGCAGGAGGCGTGTCGGTGATTGCTGACCGAAGAGAGGTGGGCATTCGGGATAGGGAGGAATGAGGTTGATGAAGATTTCTGATACGATTTCGTTGGGAAGGTTTTGGACTGGGTATATGTAACTCTCCAGGCGACGCTTGATTCCACTGCGCTCAATTCGCAGCCTGCTAATCTGGAGTTCCAGCCGGGCAAGCTCGGTCTCAACGACAGGAAGCCTATCGCGGTCTTGTTGTCGGCGGGCGGCCATTTGTGTGAGAGGGGAAGGGTCGATGACCCTTTTAAGTAAAGTCAAGCGTTTGGGTTATAGGAGGGTCTCTAAAGCTTCGATCAACCCATGTTTTCTGCAATGAGACCCTATTACGCCTGGTCAGTTATCTTGAAGCGTGAACTTCCCGGAAGAGAAGCGATGCTTATGTCATCGATCCCAACTTGACTCTAGACCGTCGCTCAATCGCGCCCAGTCCTTCGTTAGAAGGATGTTCCTCCGGCCCACTTCCCGCGAGCCCTTTATAAGGCGCGAGGGAAGTTCTACGCTTCCTTCTTCCCCATCATGCGTCGAACTGCTCTCACGAGAAACATCAATTTTCGACCGTCTACGGCCTCCTCTGTCCTCCGCGACCGTGTAAGGCGACCAGCATTTCTGGAGAAGCTAGCAGACCCCAAGGATCTTGCTCCGCTATTCCGGGTGAGCTCATTAGTTGTCTTTCTAAAGTATAAGACTGAACCGGGTTCTAGGATGACGATTATGTGCGCTGTTGTCGCCCTGTTCCTCCTCCCTCCAGTTCTCAAATTGTCTTTAGATAGCATGGAGCGGGTTCACCGGTGTCGGATACCCCAAATCAGTCCCAGCGGTGCGTGTTGCTGCCGTTCGACTCCGCCTTTTCTCATGTCGTCCAGGCAATTGCAGACTATGTCGAGGCCAACAATCTGCAGTCTCAAAAACGCTTCAATCTCTTTGTTGGCGCATCAGTGGGTCCAGAAATTGAAGAGCGTTGGGCCAAGCTCGACATGTATGTCTTTCCGCTCACGCTGGCGAACGCTCACGTTGGTAGGATTGCCCGCCGCTACCCCCACCAAGTCGGCAAAGAGATTGCCAAAGGCATCAACAGTGGACGAATCGAGTTCGCAGACAAACACTTGTCGAGTACGGGCTATGCTTTGACCTCAATTCTACTCATTCATTTCTTGACAGTGTTCCCGCAGGACCTCACTTATGGGTATTACAGTCTCCGTAAGACTCATGGAGACCCCAAGAAACACCTCAACTGGGCCATTGTCGAAGCTACAGCCATTACAGAAGACGGCCATATTGTTCCAGGTGAGCATTGTCGACGTGGCAGTGGGCATGCTAAGAGTCGCCAAGGTGCTTCCGTTGGAGCAACGCCGGAGATTCTCGAGTGCGCTGAGAAGATCATCATCGTGCGGCGCTTCTTTTCCCTGGACTATATCTAACGCATTCACAGGAAGTTAACACCCATCTGCCAAACCTCGAAGGCCTCCACGATATTTCCCAGTCTTTCGTTCCGCCAAACCGACAGCCCTACGTAAAAGAATCCGATTCGCTGCCCGTCGCGCTATTCTGATACCGCCTCCCAGCTCGTTAGCCATCCTGAAGACAGAATCGGCAAAACAGCAATTGCCATCGACCCCGACCGTGTCGTCGCCATCGTTGAATCTCATTTACCTGATAATACCGGCCCCAATGCGCCAGAGGTACATTTTTTTACTTCCAAATTCAGACTTGCTCACAGTCTTGTCAGAATGAAGAGTCCCGCGCGATTGCAGGCCACCTCATTGAATTCCTCTCGTCTGAGGTCGATGCTGGACGTCTTCCTCGCTCCCTCCTCCCATTGCAGTCCGGTATTGGAAACGTAGCCAACTCCATTATCGGTGGTCTTGCTGCTGGGCCGTTTGACAACGTCATGGTGTGGACGGAAGTTCTTCAAGGTCGGATTTGTTTGAGCTGGATGAAGCTGCAAACCGACGATATGATAAACCAGATACATTCCTGAAGTTCTTCGACTCTGGCAAGCTGGATTTCGCAACTGCTACTTCGATCAAGTTCAGCGCGGAAGGGTCAGTCTTCGCCTTCATAGAAAGCTTATTCCACTCATCACACAACAGGTTCGACCACTTTTACGCTCGTAAGTACAACCAAGCACTGGAACAAGTTAGTGGAGCTTATTTGTGGATGCAGATTGGGCCGACTACAAAGACCGACTACTCCTACGCTCACAACAAGTTGCCAACGCTCCCGAAATTATTAGGCGTCTTGGTGTCATCGCAATGAATACTCCTCTAGAAGTGGACATCGTGAGTTTGGAGAAATTTCCTCTTTTTTCTCTTTTTCCCCGCTGACATAAGCTTCATAGTATGCGCATGCTAATTCGACTTGCGCTCTGGGCTCCCGAATGCTCAACGGCCTAGGTGGTTCTGCCGACTTCTTGCGCAACGCCAAACTCTCCATCATGCATACTCCGTCAAGGTGGGTTCTGTCACATCGTTCATACCGACGGGCTTTCTGATCCAAAACTGTAGTCGACCGACAAAATCCGACCCCACTGGCATCTCCTGCATCGTACCATTTGCTTCGCATATCGACCAAACTGGTGCGTGGCCTGTCGTGCCCTGAATGAAGCTGACTTGGAGCCAGAGCATGATCTTGATGTTGTTGTGACGGAACAAGGTCTCGCAGACCTACGAGGACTGTCTCCCCGCGAGCGAGCTCCCATTATTATCAAGAACTGCGCTCATCCGGATTACCGCGACATGCTTATGGATGTTAGTGCTGTGCTTTCCTGGGAAATCATCGTCTGACTTGGTGCAGTACTATGAACGGTCTTTACACGAATGCATTGCTGCTGGACGGGGACATGAGCCTCATATGCTGCGGGTGCGTCACCTTTTCTTTGTTTGCGCGTTACTCTCTAATCTGTCGTTGTCTAGAATGCATTCAAGGTTTGTTGCTCAGGCGTTGTCCCGAAGCCAAGAATTCTGATGTCTTTATAGATGCATATTCAGTTGATGGAGCAGGGAACGATGAAGGTCGACAAGTGGGATTAGTCTAAGTAAAAAAAAGTGCAAGTTATGAGGACGCTACATGCGAAGATCAGGTCCTGTCCTATTACATATCATAGATTACCGCGCAGAACGCAGTTTGTTTTGGGAAGATTGGTTGTTTGTTTGTTTGTAATACAGTATATGCCTCCATCGGAGAGCTACTGGACTAGAAATGAGCGTTATCGGTTGGAGGTTCTGGTTATTGGATGCATGATAGTTCTAGTAATTATAATTTGATGATAGGTTAATTAAGTTCTGTTCCCTCCGCCCCGCGTGTTTTCATCTCGATTTTCGCTTGTGAAAAAGGACGAAATATCAACACGCCGTCGAGTCTCTAAGTGTTCTATACGATGCTTTTGAACCTCAACATTCTGTGGAGCATTGATAGAGAACGATGAAAATTAGTGCTGGCCAAATACAGATACGATACGCCATTTGGCGTATCGTATTTTATCGGTATCGTATCGTATCGGCAGCTCCAACCGCGTATCTGTAAGGGCAACCCCGGAGGCCTGAGATCAAGGTCCTAGCAGGGGAGGATCCAAAGGCGTGAACATTGGTAAGCGAATACAAATGAAGCTGACCTAGCAGGGGAGGATCCAAAGAGAAGAAACTCTAAGGGTCCGCCTGCTAGGTAGCTGACTATATACTGCTTGTCCGTAGCTGCCGCTGTCGGGCACAGAAGGCTTGGGCGGCGTCGCAGGCGAGGTCCCAGGGCGACCATCGGGAGGGCGTTGACGGATCGGTGATTGTGCGGGCGAGATGGAGGGCCGGACCGGAGTCGGAACCGGAGTCGGACCGGAATCGGGCGCGTCTCCGGGCCGAAAGGGAGGTTCCCCTGACATCACCCCCCCCTTTGAATGCGGCGTCCCGACGCATAGACCGGAACGGAATCGAGTCAAAGGTCGCGGAGGCGATGTGTCGTGGCTTGCCAGGGTACTTACGATAGAACTCCGCAATTTTCTCCGGGGCAAAGACGCGGTCGAAGCGGACCCATTGGTCGTGCGATGCGTCGTAGCCTTTCCATCTGACAAAGTAGTTCAGCCGTTTATACCTCACCCTTGCGTCCAGGATTTCCTCTACTTCCCACTCCGGGACTCCGTCCTCGAGGTCCGGAGGGGGTTGGTCGTAGCCGGGGCGTCCGTCGAAGGGGTCGTCCTGGGCGAGCTCGAGCTTGACGACGGGGAAGACCGGGCGGAGCTTCGAATAGCGCGGAGGGAGGTCGAGCTTGTAGGCACCTTTGCTGATCTCCGCGACTATCTTGAACGGTCCAAGGCGGCGATGGGAGAACTTTTCCGAGGGGCGAGTCGTCCTGATGTCAGAGGCATCCAGCCAGACACGGTCGCCAACCTTAAACTCCGGAGACGGAGTCCGTCTCCGGTCGTAGTAGCGCTTGTACTCCTCTTTGGCCTTAGTGAGCGCGGCCTTGGCTTCAGCAACACCAGTGGCGATCCGGTCGCGGAACTCGTTCACTGACTCCATGGCGGAACGGACTCCGGGTTCGAAGCCCATGCGCGGGAGCCGTCCCGTGTCCGTCATGAAGGGGACCTGCTGCGTGGAGGAGTGAACCTGCTGGTAGTTGGTGAAGATCCGCAAGTACTGCTCCAGCTCCTGGTTGACGTGCTCTGTCTGACCGTCTGTCTGCGGGTGGTACGCGGTGGACGTGGCGGGCTTGATGCCTATTAGACGCCAGAGTTCTCGGGTGAAGTCCGCGATGAACTGCGAGCCGCGGTCGGAGACGTACTTCTCCGGAGTCCCGTGGTGCCGCCAGACATTCCGGTAGTAGAGGCGGGCTGCCCCTACTGCATCGACCGTCGTATGACACTCCGAGAAGTGGGCGCGCTTTCCGAGGGTGTCAACGACGACCATGATCGCGTCGTACCCATGGGCTTCGGGAAGCTCTACGATGAAGTCGACGGAGACGGTATGCCAGCGTTCCGGGGGCGTTTCCGTGGGGTGCAGTTCTCCGTGGGGCAGTCTCCGGAGTGCCTTGGTGCGACAGCACAAGTCACAGGTCGCAACATACCGGCCGATATGGCGAGACATCTGAGGCCACCAGTAGTTCCGGGAGACCAACTCCAGGGTCTTGAAACGACCTGCGTGTCCGGCGACTCGGGTGTCATGGCAGAGCTCGATGATGCGTCTCCGGAGGTCCTTGTCCTTTGGTACGACGATCTTTCCTCGGAAATGGAGAAGACCGCCGGAGACGGCCCATTCGTCAGAACGTGAGGAGCGGGGGCCTCGAGCTTGACCTTGAACCTTAAGAAGTTGCCGGGCCGCTAGTGCGACGGGCTCCTCCAGGTCAGGCTCACTGGAGAGGGCATCACGGATGTCGCGGAGGAGTTCAGAGCCGGGACCGGAAACGGAAACGCCCTTGAGTGCGCGGACGTGGAAGAGTTCAGGCCGCAGAAGGACGACATCGGAGTTGTCGGAATCGACTCCGTGGTCGGGTCTCCGGGAGAGGGCGTCAGGCCGACCCATATCGCGGCCAGGCTTGTGGTGCAGCGTGAAGTCGAACCGGGAGAGGTACAGAGACCACCGGGCCTGTCTCCGGTTGAGGTGCTGCGTCTTCCTGAAGTACTCCAAATTCTTATGGTCAGTCCAAATCTCTACAGGGTGCGCGGCGCCCTCGAGGAAGTGTCTATACTCCTCGAGTGCGCGGATGATCGCGAGCATCTCCTTGTCGTGGATTTCGTAGTTGCGCTGGACATCATTTAAGCTTTTGGAATAGAATGCTACAGGGTGCCACTTCCCGTCCGGGGCGGATTGTGAAAGAACCACCCCCGTCGCATAATCAGAGCTGTCCGCCTCGAGTCGGAAAGGCCGTGTATCGTCCGGAATCGCCAGGACCGGTTCCGAGGTGACCGCGTCCTTGATCGCTTGGAACGCGGAGGCCTCCGCTTCGCCCCAAGTCCACTGCTGGTCCTTCTTGGTGAGCACGAAAAGAGGGCGCGCAAGGGTCGAGAAGTCCCGAATGAACCTGCGGTAGAAGTTAGCAAACCCAAGGAACTGCTGAATGTCCTTCTTGTTTTCCGGAGTCGGCCAAGCGGAGACGCCTGCGACCTTGACGGGGTCCATTTCAACGTGGTTGTGGGAGATGATGACTCCGAGGTACTCGATTGACGATTTTTCAAAGTCGCACTTCTCCGCTCGAAGGTACAACTTGTGCTCCCGGAGTCGCCGTAAGACCTCCTGGACAATCTGCCGGTGTTTCCGGAGGTCGGAATGGGCGATCAGGATGTCGTCAAGGTAGATCATGACGTCTCCGGAGAGGATGAGGTCCTGGAAAATGTCATTCATCATCGTTTGGAACGTCAGGGAGAGTTTGTCAGGCCGAAATACATCACCAAGGGCTCGAACAGGCCTCGGTTAGTCCGGAAAGCCGCTTTCCACTCGTCACCTTCCTTGATCCGGACGTTGTTGAAGCCCCAACGGACGCCGAGTTTGGTGAAGTAACGAGCGCCTTTGAGCCGGTTGATGAGGTCGTTGATCAGCGGAAGGGGGTACCGGTTTTTGACAGTCATCACGTTGAGAGCACGGTAGTCCTGGACGAAGCGGAGTCCGCCGTCCTTCTTCTTGACGAAGGAGACCGGAGACGCCATCGGAGACTTGGAGGGCGAATCCGGCCCGTCGAAAGCCCTTCCTCGATGAAACGTCGAGCCTCGCGTTGCTCGAGGGGCGAGATGGGGTACACCTTGCAGTTGGTGGGCTTAGCGTCGGGGACGAGTTCAATGGCGTGGTCCCAGGCTCTCCGCCCCGGTAGCGTGTCGAAGGACTCCTTGTTGAAGACGTCCTGGAACTCCTTAGCCCAGTCCGGGATCTCGGAGGGCGGAGGGGCGGAGTTCCTGGCGAAGGCTTCGGCCAGGCGTTGCGAGACAGTACTGCCAGCGCGTATCTCCTCCGAGGGGCGGAACGAGATGTAGAAGATGCGGTCACCATATTCAAGCTGACCATCGTCATCGTCGTCGTCGGAGTCCGGCGTCAGATCAGGCAGGCCGGAGTCGTCACCGGAGACGGAATCGTCTCCGTCATCAGACCCAGAAAGGTCCATGGCGCAGACCGAGGGGAACGGGCCGGAGCGGAGACGCTTCTGAAGCGACCGGAGTCGCCGCAACTCGGTCCGTTCGACCCGCTCTTCCTCACAGCAGGTGGAGCAATTGGGGGGCACCGTGTCATCTTGACCTCCTTGGTTTCCCAATTGATCTCTGGGTTATGTTTCCGCAACCAGGAATACCCCAGGATGAGGTCTTGCTTGCCAAGATGGGTGACGGCCAGCTGAACTCGTTCGGCATGGCCCTTGTAGCGCAGGACCAAGTCCGCGATCTGTTTGATGGAGCCAGCGTCATTGGGGGTGCCATCGACATTGAAAACCGGAATCGGCTGATCGAGGGTGTGGACCGGAATGCCATTCCGAGCAACATAGTTCGTGTCAATGAAGTCGGAGGTGGCACCACAGTCGACAAGCCCAGAGAGTGAGAGCTTCAGTGCGCTGGTGGTGGACTCAAGCTCCAACGGGAGGTGGAGGGAGTTCGCCCCAGGGGCAGCAGCAATGGTGTACTGCTTGGGCAGTTTCTTTTCCCAGGCAGTGAGGCGGCGAAGGACGATGACCGGAGTTGCGGGCGGAGTCGGAGACAGAGTCGAGGTGGGGGCAGGAGAGGGTGTGTCTTTCGTTTCGGGCTCATTGTAGGGCAAGGAACTGCATTGATCATACAAGGAGGCAAAACGATTTATAGACGCGAACGAGGGCACACCAGTCACTCGTCGCGGGGGACAAAATCCTCTCCGGCCATCGACTCCGCTGCCGTCTCCGGCAGGGCAGCTGTGTCCGTGTAGCGGGCGATCAACTCCGCTAACATCTCGTCACCGAGTTGTTGGATCACCTCGTCGAGGATGTCCATCGAGCGGACATCGGCGGGGAGGGGGCAATCCCGGGCGAGATGGTTTGGGTCGCCGCACCTGAAGCAGGCGCGACGAGGGGCACCCCGAGCCCTGGTGCGATCCAACTCCATAGGGATGGGAGCTGGAGGCGCCGGAGCGGGGGCACGGGCCGCGGGTGGCACGACCGGAGCCACCGGGCGGAAAGGGGCCGGAGCCGGGATGCGGTTGACCGGAAACGGAGTCCGAATCAAACCGCCAGGCGTCTTGGGGGCGGCTGACTTGATCAGCTTGGCCCGGACCAGGGCCTTGTATTGACGGAAGGCCCGGGTGCGCCAGCTAAGGTAATCCCGGAGGTCCGGGGGGTCGTTCGAGGACGTGATTCCGTTATTGATCAGGGGGTCAAGTCCGTGGCGGAACTTGGTCACCTTGACCAGCGCGTCTTCGAATCCGGCGAGGTCCATCAGGTCCTCGAAGTCGTCGGTGTACTGGTAGACATCCTTTGTACCCATGTGATAGGCGGAAGTCTCTAGCTTGGAGAGAGCGTGATCTTGCTCATTCTCCTCGACGAACCGGAGTCGAAACTCGGAAACGAACGAGCCCCAGGACGGAAACGGAAACGGGGCTTTGCTTCCGTGGCGCTCCGCCCATTGCTGAGCGGGTCCTTCTGCCATAAATAACATGGCATAGCGGACAGCCTTTTCCTCGCTCGCCTCTCCGTTGACCACGAAGGCCTCAGGGGCAAGGCGGGCGTAGGTGCGGACCGCGTAGAGGAACGCGCGGCCGCGTTTCCGGTCGCCGTTGAAGGTGAACGGGGGGTTTGGTCCCAAGACCAATTTTGAGGCGAGGTTGATGTCGCCAAAAAGGGCTTCGGAGTCGCCCTGGACCGGAGTCGGAGTCGGAATCGACGTCTCCGGTGATGGTGTTTGGGGTCCGCCAGCATTATTAGCGGCGGCAGCGGCAGCGGAAGCCTGGTTGGTGAGTAAAGCAAGGGCCTCAGTTAGGCTATCGATTTTCGCCTCGAGTGAGTCCAGCCGGGCGTCTGCGGTAGGAGTGACTCTGGACGGCATGACGGGTGCGGGGACCACAGGAGTAGAGGAGGAGGGGACAAGTGGCAGGGGCGGTGACGAGGGCGGAACGGACTCGTACTCCGAGCCTGAGTCAGCGCCGAACCTGGCAATCTTGTCCGGTTGATCCCGTAGAGAGTTTCTTCTGCTGTAAGGGCAACCCCGGAGGCCTGAGATCAAGGTCCTAGCAGGGGAGGATCCAAAGGCGTGAACATTGGTAAGCGAATACAAATGAAGCTGACCTAGCAGGGGAGGATCCAAAGAGAAGAAACTCTAAGGGTTCGCCTGCTAGGTAGCTGACTATATACTGCTTGTCCGTAGCTGCCGCTGTCGGGCACAGAAGGCTTGGGCGGCGTCGCAGGCGAGGTCCCAGGGCGACCATCGGGAGGGCGTTGACGGATCGGTGATTGTGCGGGCGAGATGGAGGGCCGGACCGGAGTCGGAACCGGAGTCGGACCGGAATCGGGCGCGTCTCCGGGCCGAAAGGGAGGTTCCCCTGACAGTATCGTATCCATATTGCCAACATTAAACTACACCATCAAAGGTCCCACTCACCTCTAAAGGGCAGTTTAGTATGCAGAACTGCTCCCAGAAGCTAGCAGAAACAGGTGAGCCTCAATATGGATGATTTCCACACCAATGATCTCCCATCAAACCGATACGATACGATACGCGCACTGAAATTGCATATCGTATCCGTATTTTGACCGATATATTCAAAATATATCGGCCGTATCGTATCCTTGGACAGCACTAATGAAAATAGACGAATGGGACTAACTCCCAACCACATAAGTAGGTGTACAAGTCATGATAATGCTAGAATTCATGCAGGGGAGTCCACAGACTGTCTGTGCTAGTGCTACATCACCGCGACAATGACCTGGATTCTAATTCCTGGTCAGTTACTTATTCTCCCTGCGATAAATGCAGAGCGACTCACGAGTTCATAACCAAACACATTTTGGCGCGCCACCCATCCCTATCCCAGGCCGGTAGGCCAACCGCATCGAGAAGCGTCTCGAGCTCCGCCTCCCAGCCGGGGACCCGCGCAACAGCAAAGTCACTCAGCGCGTGGTATTCATTTGTGAAGTACGTCCTGCTGTCTTGCCACGCTCTGTTCGGCGGGAGACGACGGACGAGGGCAGCTTGCTGAAGAGAACATGCCGCGCTGTAGACGCGGCGGAGACGGTCTTTCAGTTGGTCGATGCGCGCGTGGATTATGCGTTCGGCACGTGCTTCCGGTACGGTCACACTCAAGGCATGCTCCTGTTCTGGTGAGGCTACCGCTTCGTGACGAGCAGCGTGTGCGGTGAGGTAGTCACAGTGTTTGTCGGGATGAGCTCGTCGGCGTTTGACGTGTCGCGAGCTGCACGACATTGTCAGCTTCGCTGGCAGTCCCCAAGGGCAAATGCTCACCTTGTTACCCGTAGAGAGACCGTGGGCAGCACCATGGTGGACTCGAAAGAGTCTCCATGTCCCTGTTTCTCCAGGTCGTAGTAGAACTGCTTGAGCAGCACCTCTTTCCGCAGATCCTTCGGTCGGCTTTTGGTGACGGGCTTGGGGGTAGCCAGAACGGGAATGGCGATTGGTGCCATTGGCGGGGGCGAGTGGCCTCTGGAGGAGGCGGCAGTCGTAAACAGGCGCGTTGACTTCGCGATGGGGAGGCAAGAGGATGCCGCAGCCGTAGTCATATGTATGAGTCGTGGTCGCCTAGTGTTGATTTCCGAGAAGTCGGCGAGCCTGTGTTCTGCGTGTGTTCAAGCAGAGGCCGGGAAGGACTAGTTGAGAACTTGCCGGAAATAGAACTTCGTTAATGCCCGTCTTATACCCTCCGCGCCAGACAAGGCCATGGAATCATGCACACAATTAGCGGATGCGCGCTTGGAAGACGAGACAAGAGCGCTATTGTGCCCTCCTGGGCCAGTTGGCGGCGTGGGACGGATGGAAATGGACAGCTGGCAGTGTTTGTGGGGCCGTGTTGGGGATTCAAGATGTCTCGTTAGACAAGCATCGGCATTTCGCTGAACGGTCGGTTCTCGAAGGAGGTTGGATGCAGACAATGTCTAGCCTCGATTGGAGATGGGGGCGTGTGTAGACTCGTCTTGCTGATGCCCTTCATTGGTGGCAGTGAGGCTTGTGGGTCCCTTCGCTGATCGGCGGCTCAAGCTCTGTTACCTGTCGCACTTGCGATACAGATGAGATGGGTGAAGATTGCCGAAGGACTTCCAATTGTGCACGTCGAGATTCCAGTGACCTTTGTGTCCAGATGTGCAACTGCTTTTGTGAACGGTATGGGAGGATAGATAGAAATGACACATCTTGGGTTTGACAGCATTGAAAATACTGAGAAGAAGAAGACAACTTGGTGGCCGGCAGTCGGCGAAAGACCTGGAGAAACGGGTTCTGTGGCGGAAATACAGTGCAAAAAAAGAGTCACACATCTGCTTGATAGCTCAGTCTGCCTGGGGCCCGTCTTTTGAAGGGAGTTGTGGGTGAGATGGTTGACAGTCGCTAGTGTCCCCGTCCCGGAGTCGGTTAACCCGCGCATATACTTTGCTGTGGGCTGACGATAGTCTAAGCGTTCCGCAAGGTTGAAGGCCCCGAGAAGCTGATGGCAAGCCTTGTCCAATCGATCAAAAACCCATTTTTTTTGACGTATCTCCTTGATTTCGGTCGCAAATGTAGCTCTCTGGCCTTATAAACTACATGAAATTGTGCGCATCGATGAGAGCTACACGCCCATATAAAAATTTCCGTCCAAATTCGCCCAGGGGCGTGGGAAATCAGCCATCAAGATGTCAATCAAAATGGGTTTTTAAGGCCCGATTTTGAAAAAAAAATTAAAAAGTCGGGCATATCTGGGGAACCGCTGCAGATTGAGGGACCGCGTTTGTTGGAGGACTTAAAGGACCCTCTTGCGCATCTTTTCCACCCTCCAACACAATCATTGGGGTTGGTGGTCGCCGGCAATTTCTTGGCGGGCGTGGACAACCCTTGATGGCAGCTTCACGGGGCCTAAGGTTGAGTTAGCATGGGAGATCAAGCACAATGGGCGTTAGACACACCGTTAGCCACAGTTCCTTCCAAGCTTTCATATGCCTCCGAGCCGCCGCTCGCGTATACGAGTCAACGGAATCTTCACAAGAACGCGACAAGCACGGTCTGTCACTCGGGCCTTGAACTTGAAAAAAACTCCTCATCAGTCGTGTCGCCGCTCAAAGACATGCGGTTTTGAGTGGCATGCGTCACGCATGCACTGGGAAGAGTATTGTATCAAGCATTTAGCATCAGCTGCAGCGAAAGAGCAGATGGTGGAAGAGTAAAGTGCGGCGACTCCACGAGCATGTGATCAAACGATCCAGAACGATCCTCTCTTTCCGACGTCAACTGCCGATCCACGTTGGTCGTGGCGAGGAGAACTATAACATTGTAAGAGAATCAGAACGCTCTTCATCTTGCTAACAAACTACCAGAGCCTCATTTTAGAGTCGAAACTTTAACCCGAGACCATTCAAGTTGCTTTGGTTCCAGGTTTCCGCGATGACCAGCTGTGCCGCGGATAGAGCTCTTCTGGGTGAATTACAAGAGAAAATAGACAAAGCTGAAGAATATATAGCGGGTCTACGACTAAAAATGGCCGCGCCTCGTCAACGACTCGCACAATACACATATCCAGTGCTCACATTGCCGAGCGAGATCGTCGTCGAAATTTTTACCCGCTACCTGCCTCCATACCCTCAATGCCCACCCCTCATCGGCCCCGGCTCGCCCACATACCTACTTGGTATTTGTCAACTCTGGCGGACGATTGCGCTGAACAGCCCTACGTTACTGTAGCATTTTATTCAATTCGGCGCCCGAAATCGGTGTGACATCGGCGCCGAAATGAAATGTTCGGCATCTGGTGGCTCCAAGTGTGACCGCCGAAAATTTTGGGCAGATTTCGGCGCGGCCCGCAGGGCCGCGCCAGCCAAAAATGGTACATCAGCCGAGGGAATTCGGCGTCTAGGCTGTCGAGTGTGACCGCCGAAAAAATTTCGGCATTTTAAGGCCGGTGTGACGCGTGACCGCCGAATTGAATAAAATGCTACAGTATGGCGTGCGATCGAAATGGATCACAAGAGAGCGGACGCAGAGCTTGCAGCAACGTGGCTGCAACGGTCTGGCGCGAGTCTTCTTTCTCTCAAATTTGATTTCAAGCCAAGCTCAGATGGGCCTACTGCAGTCAATAGTGATGTCGATCGCGTCGAACTTATTCAGACGGTGACAAAGCATCGTCACCGCTGGGAATACGTCAACTTTCATGTCCGGCATTTTCAAGTCGCACGCCTCTCTGGTGCCGCTCCTGCACTCGTAGATGTCGATATTGTTGGATGGGACTCTCCTGATCTTTTATCTTCTTGGCACAACACTGCTGCCGTGTCGTTTGACCCCGCCCCGTGTTTGCGCTTCCTCTACTTATGGGACATCCCTATTGCGCACAACTTCGCTTCCGTGGTATCAATTGACGACTGTGACCCTCTTTGATGCCGAACTATCCACTTGCGCTGCTGTCCTTGCAGCTGCGGAGAGCCTCGAGTGGTGTAAACTTGTCATCCAGTCCTTCAATCCTCTAGGTGTCCCACACTCACCCTTCGAATTCGTCCTCCCGCGTATCCATACGCTTGTGTTGCTCCACAGCCACGCCGGAGGCGGGACTCTCGTCAGCAGCAAGGAGCAAGCTGACTATCTTTCCCACTTCCGCGCTGTTCCCAGACTACGAAATCTAGAAATCTCAGGAGCGTTATTAATATTACCGGAAAATCCACTGGCAGGGACAGAAGCGGAGAGCGTTGAAGAGGCTATTACTCGCCTGCGAGCCTTTATCATGCGTTCTGGGTCCTTGCTGCAACGTGTGAGGATCGTTTCGCCAGAGGATGATGGCTTGCTACACGCTTGTCGAGCAGCATTTCCAAACATCAAGTTTTTTCACACCCAGACAACCAGATACAATTTCCAAGGACGCATGGAGGACGGATAAGTACTGGAATCCGGCTGAGCATGAGAGCAGTTCAAGTAGCGCCATTTCCGACTCGGAATCAGAATCAGATGGGGAAATTTGAGGGAGTACTTGCTTGATTTCTTCAATTTTCTATTGATATACTCACTGCGGGAGCCTGTTTCAATTAATTATATGCCTAAAATCAATATATCAAAAAAAAAACACCTTTGCACTCAAAGGAATTTGTCCCAGATTTGCCTGCTTACATGAGAAATAGGTGCAATCAATAGACTTAGTTTTTGTCACCCAGTTTTAGGGCAGATCAAATGCTCTTTTTGGACCAATTTTTGCATGAAAATGGGACCAAAAATATTCACTTATATGATCCAGGGCCCTGATATATATCATACTAGACAAGGCTGGGGCTACGCTCCAACTTTGAATATTGCTTGAACAACATGAATTCCCAGATTAAGAACATTGCCACTTACTACAGAATGGCATATAGATACCCAATGGTCTTGACTCCTCTTAAATATCTGGTCTACTATTGTTGCTAATATATCTAGATTGCAACGTTAACCCAAGTCAGTAAACTTTATATACTTATTTCTTAATTAGTGGGCAATTTGAAGGCAATTTGAGAATACTTACTTAGTACACACTTCAGTGTTATTATGTTAAATAACCTTAGATATAATTTGTTTATAATACTGGGTGTACGATATCACTTACAGCTTTGCATCCTAATTAGGATTGGTCACATTTTACAGCTTTTCTTACCAATTCAGGGTTATAACAGCAGTCACTCCAAAAATGGAAGTGTAGAGTAAATAAATTTTAAAGCCGGTGCCAAACATGTGCATACATTTACACAACATCTGCTTAATATAAGAGGAATAAGTGAATATTTTTTTGACAATTACAATTATATACATGAATAGATTTAGAACCTGTTTCTTCAGTGTCCATGCAAGATCATTCCTAGCTCGAATAGTATCTGGATGTTCAGGGCCTAGCAGAGCTATACGCTGCTCCAGAACCTGTTCTTGCATTTCTTTAGCCTCCTGATATCTCCCAAGCTGACAATATGTCCATGCAAGATTGTATTTGGCTGAAGTAGTAACTGGATGTTCTAGCCCTAGTAGCTTTTTGCGCTGCTCCAGAACATGCTCTTGCATGTCTTTGGCCTCTTGATATCTGCCAAGCTGACACTTTGTTAATGCAAGATTACTTTTAGCTTGGATGGTATCTAGATGTTCAGATCCTAGCAGCTGTATATGCTGTTCCAAGACTTGTTCTTGAATTTCTTGTGCCTCCATATATTTGCCAAGCTGATAACATGTAGATGCAAGGTCATTTCTAGTTGAAATAGTATCTGGATGTTCAGATCCTAACAGACGTATGCGCTGCTCAAGAACCTGCTCTTGTATATCTTGGGCTTTTTGATATTGGCCAAGCTGTTGGTATGTCCATGCAAGATCATTTCTGGCCCAAATAGTGATGAGCCTCGGAGGCTCATCAGCATCGATTAGTCAGCATTGATCCGGATAGGCCGTCCTTCCGGACTCCTTTAGTTCATCTCGTCCTGTTCCTGGTCCTGGTTCCTCTCTCCTAGCTCCTAGTTTAGTTAGTATATAAGAGTGTTCTTAGTTTAGTTTCCATATCATATCATATAGTTTCCCCCAGCAGAGTTTCCCTCAGAGTTCAAAGTCTTTCCTCTTCTTCTCCCTCTCTGGTTGTGCTGTAGCCTTTGGTTGCAGTTAGAGCAGTTTGAAGGGCTCTTGCTTTTCTTGTTCTTTCTCACACCAGTGAGAAAGCTTGTCAATAGTATCTGGATGTTCCAGTCCTAGCAGACTAATGCGCTGCTCTATAACTTGTTCTTGCATTTGTTGGGCATCTTGATATTGGCCAAGCTGATGGTATGTCCAGGCAAGATCATATCTAGACTGAATAGTGTTCAAATGTTTGGGCCCTAGTAATCTCATCCGCTGCTCTAGGACTTGTTCTTGCAGTTTTTGAGCCTCTCTGTATTTTCCAAGCTGGCGATATGTTGATGCAAGGTTGCTTCTGAGCTGAATAGTCTGAAGATGCTCAAACCCTAGTAGATGTATATGCTGCTCTAGAATCTCTTCATATACTACTTTAGCATCTGTATATTTTCCCAGTTGGTAGAAAGCTAAAGCTAAATTGAGTTGAGCAGATATTGTGCTAGGATCCCTTAAGCCTCGGTCCCTTGTTAATCTCTCCACAATGATTTGTCCCAAGATCTCTGCATTGGAAAAAAAGCTAGCAGACATATATATCTTCTGACAAGGAATCTGAAATGGTGCCAGTATCACCTCTGGCCTCAATATCACTGTTTTTAGATGTTGTGCTAATACTAGCTGATCTGTCCTATTGACTGTTCCAACAGCTGACATTCCCAACAGGTTCATTGCCATACTTCTATAATCTTCTGGGTTTGGCAGTGTTAATCTTGTCCACTCATGGGATGGATATAGTAGCCATCATTCCTCAAACTGATTAATGAGTAGACTTCTATATCTCTTATAATCTTTTCAAATAGCAGCTCATCCCACTCCTCATCTTCATCCAAGAACTGGGATAAAAGATTGAGTATGAGGGCTAATGGCTGTGGAACCTGCTCTGGCTCTTCTATCCGAGTCTTCCACTCTGCCTCAGTCCATTTATATTTTGATGCATTTTGAAAAATAGCCTCAGTAATCTGACTATTGTGCATTAAAGAGCACACCTGCATCATGTGTTGAGCAGTAGGAGGCAAGTTGTCAAAGCTGACCCTCCAGGTAGTATAGACTGTATCCTTATAATCCCAGGCCTGTTGAGTTGCCCTTTGATTCCAGTACTTCTGTTTGTTTTTGTTATAAATTTCAAGATACTTTAATGGGTTTTGATGTAGCTTCTGAGATTGAGATATAAAGGCAGCAGCTTGTGCTAGTGCCAATGGGAAATAGTGCAGCTCCTATCATATGTAATTAAATTTTATATTGAATATTATACATTGATAATATTTACCTTTGCCAGTTTCTCAGCTATTTCCCTGTCACTAATCTGTGAAATAGAGCATATAACATCAATGGCCTCATCTAGGGCCAGGCCAGATACATTGATTGACTTTTGCTTTGTATATACACTTAGCTCTGGGTTCCGAGATGTAATTAGGATGTTACCATGATTACACTTGGGAAGGTGCTCCCAGAGATTCAGCTCCACATTATCAGCATTATCAAAGAGGATGAGCCATTCATCTGTGTTTCCTGTCAGCCATGTGTGTGCAGCTGTGACTGAAATTTCTTGATTCTTGATTCTAGCAATTTCTCTGTATCCTGTATCGATAGTATTTTCATTGGTTGCATCAATTTTGAACTGGTTTGTGAATCTGGAGAGGTATAAATATATAAAGGAAGAGTTATTGCATCATACCTTGAGCTGGATTCTGCAATAACTTTGAGGGCAGTCTGTGTTTTGCCTATGCCACCTAGACCAAATAGAAGCACAAGCTTTGGGCTTTGTTGACTTGTCTCTCCAAAGAATTCTTTCAGTTGTGCTAGAATATATGTGCGCCCAGTGAAGTTATCAGATGGGCGAGAGCACCCATGATATGGTTCTGTAGTCAAATTCCTCAGACAATTTAAAGATCATACAGAATATAGTACACTGACTATCTGAGACCATGTCCCTGCAATGGGTGTCAGTTCATTTTCCCACTTGGTGTGACACCTCACTCTGGCAATGTTCCGTGGTAATGAATATTGAAGCTGTCGGTAATTGCTGTTCCTCCACCAGTTCCCCCGTCTCCGCCGCTTTCTGTTCCCGCCCCGCCACCGCCGCCGTGACCACCTGGGAACATTGAATCGGGTGCGGCGGTGGCTTGGCTCAGCCTGAGAATGGATCAACATACCAACGATGTGGATATTTGTCCCAGCAAAGCTCATTGTTCAATGCAAAGAGCAAGAGAGTAGGAGGAGTCGTTGTATGCGTGTAAGGCCGCCTCGTGGTGTCGTGGCATCATCGCTCACACGTCATTCGCGCGTCGGTCCGGATCCGCCATTGGTCCGCCATCAGATGAAGCTAGCGCCGGGTTGATGCTGTAACGCGACCGCGCCCACCACTAAGTGCTTGCTACCTTGGCGGCGCTTCAAGTCGTTTCGAGAGGTCAACGCAGCATCAACGACGGCGGCACATAGCCCACATTTCGTCTTCGACGCAACAAAACTTGGCTCACTCATATATCTCCGATCAGCACTCCCAAACAGGCAATACTTCTGCCGAATGGGGTACCGGCGGCCGGCCACGTGAGCGTGGCCTCCGATCCGCTCCGTGACATACATTTTTTTCCTTGCCCTTTCCTCCCGCCCCACATGAGTGTCCTCCGCCCGCTGCACGTCGACGACCTGTTCCGGTTCAACAATATGTATGTCCAACCCACTTCGGGGAGGGCTACTACTAACGCGACGCAGAAATTTGGATGTCTGGACCGAAACGGTGTGTCGCCTGGCTGGTCGGTGATGCTGTTAGCTGACAACTGCGTAGTACGACCTGGGGTTCTATTTGCAGTACCTCGCGACGTGGCCGGACCTGTGCTACGTGCAGGCCGCGCCGAGCGGGCGGCTCATGGGCTATGGTGAGCAGCTTTTTTGCTCCTCGAGTGTTTTGCACCGAACTTCTTAGTCATGGGCAACGCCGGGCGCGAAGGCACCTCCTCTGACTGGCACGGCCACGTCACGGCGCTGACCATTGCCCCCGAATACCGCCGCCTCGGGCTGGCGCGGTCACTGACCACGTTACTCGAGCTGGTTGCTGACGCGGTATATACCGGCGCATTTGTCGACCTCTTTGTGCGCTGCCAAAACCAGGTTGCCATTGACATGTACGAGGGCATGGGCTACAGCGTCTGGCGGAGGATACGGGAGTATTACGGCAGTCTCGGGCGGGGAAGGGAGGGGCGAGACGAGGAGGACGCGTTTGGTGCGTGAACTCGATTTTTCTTTGGATTTTATTGAAATTAAACTAAAGACATGCGCAAACCGCTCAGCCGGGACCCGTCGAGGCATTCTGTCCGCTCTAACGGGCGCGACGTCATCGTAGACCAGGCGTAAAGCCTTTATATATTCCATTCTACACACCCCACTCACATAATAATTGTAAAGCAAAGCATCACTTCCCATTGCATTCTGTCGCACGGTCCAGTTTCGAAGCGCCATAACAGACTCCTTCTCAACTGTTTGTGTGTCCTCAGGTCAGTCAATGAACACTCACACCACAAGTCTATTCTGCGGCGGCTAATTACCTGTTGCACTGTCGTCGTCGGCTGGATGATGATGAGCCAGGAGACGGCCATGATCAACTCTCGAAACAACGTCGTTTTGCCTGAAACCCTAGGGAGATTCACCCAAGAAAGCCACCACAGTTGCCACGATGGGCGTCTCGTCGGCGGCGAGGTGCTGGCTGCTGCCGTGAGCGCGAAATTTCTCAGCTTTGAGCTCGCCTTTGTCATCTGGCAGCCTTGGTCGGAACGCTTGCGCCATGGCTCGACGGAGCCGCGAGTCGCCCTTAGAGCAAAATAGTGGGTAATCAGCTGCGTTATTCATATGGTAGCGGTTAAGTAACTCATTCGTCGAAATCACGACTGACACCGTCTGACAGTGGTTCGCGGCGGCGACACGTCTTCTCATGCCGCTTCCCCCAACTGGAAGTGTCGCCAACTCAAAAAGACCCAGTCACGTTGCACGCGAATGCGGCAGGGAAATCCTTCATCGGTCAAAAGGGAACTCATCCCAGTTTGGATTCCGAGAGTAAACACATGAATCGGTAACTTAACTGTCTAGCGTATCGGGAAGTTTGCAGCGTTGGCGTCCGACAAATCAGCGTTGGGGCCGCGCTCGATGACCGACACGCGGTAGGCGTGCACCTCCAGGATAGCTTCCACGGTGAGGGGCATCTTCTTGCGCTGGCAATACTCCTTTCCAATTTCGATCGTTTTGTCCACATCTAAGAGGCCTTGCCTTGTAAAGGTCCGAGTCAGAGCTGCTGAACACCGGTCACTAGCACTCACTCTTCAGCCTCATCCCAGCGCTTGTCAGAGCCGGGAATGCGGGAAGCAAACTCCTTCATCCTCTCCCACATGCCCTTCTCCAAAGCCTTACGATCCAATTCTTTAGTGTTGTCAATAAGAGATCTCGGGATAATAATCCTTCTTACCTGGTCCTTGGAGGAGGAGGGCGAGACCCCGTAAGACTGCAGCTGCTGCCATGGGATTCGGGTTCATTTCGAGGCAATAGTACTAGTAGGGAGTCTCAGACTCGGATGCCCACCGAGGGACGACCAGAGTGGTTAGCACTGCCCAGGCCCCAGCGGTGGCGTCGCAGTATGTAACTTGACCCGGCTGGAATCCGATGGCTGGAATCTGATGACGGACCGCTGGCGGACCGACGTGAGATCATAATACAGCACACGATGATGCCACGAGGCAGCCTTACTAGCCCTTACACGCATACGACGACCACTCTCCAACTCGTTGCATCAAACTATGAGCTTTGCCGGGACGAACATCCACATTGTCGGTGTGTTGATCCATTCTCAGGCAGAGTCAGGCTCAAGGGGGGTTCAAGTCTCGAATCATGGATATAGGGTCGGAAAGTTTTTTTCCGACCCCTGGGGGACCCCCCTCCTGCCATATCGGGTAATATGCTCCCACGATTCGCGTCATGTGATCACTGATGCGATCAAAAGGTGGGATAAAAAATTCAATCTTTGGGAAACTTTTTTTTTGCAAATTTTTCTATATATGTGCATGTGTATATGTGTATGTATGTATGTACCTGGAATCTTCAAACACACATGGCAGGCCATATTAACTCTTCAACATGTTCACCTCTCATCTATTACCTGATGATGGGCCTATGTGTAAGGGGAGCATGTGATGTGACAGCTGTGACTGATCACGTGACTGGTCCGTGCGCAGATAGCCCTGTACTTAAGTAGTTGGCTGTGGGGCTGTTCCCCCGGCTTTGGTATCAACTAGGCACCTGGACCCTCATCCCCTGACAGCATACCAAAGCCTCTACATCGACTCTGGCACTCTTCTAGCCCCAGTTGATCCTCTCTATCTCCTATATTCGTCCTCACCCTACTGTGCTTGCCTTCTCTCCTCCAATGACGACTCCTGGCGTCCCTGTCGACCTGTATTCGTACTGCCTGCTCTTGCAGAGCGAAATTACTCGCCTCACCGACCGTCTCGACCGTCTTGAGTATGGTACGCCTGCTCCACCCCCTGCTCCCCCTTCCCCTGGTCCTACATTCCACGGTGTCTGGGACGGCAGTCGCTGGGTTCTTCCAACAATCCCGGCCCCTACCCCTGCCGTCATCGCTGCGGCCCACACTTCCATACCACTTGCCGAAACCTTCCCCCTACTGCGCCCGACACTGTCACGCGCTTCTCTTGTACGCTTGTGGTGCCTGACTCGGCTGTCGGGCATATCGTGGGTCGTGGCGGCAAGGGTCTCCACCAAGCTCATGACACTTCTGGTGCTCAGTCTGCGCGTACTCTGATCGCGCTGCGCCTGGTGAGCGCCGGGTCTCTATCCGGGGAACCGACCAGCAAATCGGTGAAGCGCTTATTGCGCTTGGGAAACGGTTCATGCGTAAGCGTGTCCGTGCGAAGAAGCAACGTCAGCCACCGTCTGCTGAGGGACCTGCTCCCCCTCCTCCTGTCGCGCCTGTGCCTGCGTCTCACGCCACTAAGATGGATGTCGACCGTGCAGCTCATTCACTCAGGAATACTAATAAAAACGTGGCTACTGGTGAAGGGCCATACTCATAAAACCTGGGGAAGGGCTCAAGGGTCACAAATGTCACACTTTTTAAAAAACCATTTTATTCATTTTTGGGTGTTAGATCATAGTATTGATGATGGGATTGATGGCATCAAGATAAAGTGATCAATGTGGAACGATTTTTGATGGACATCAGTATCATTGATGGCTATGTCAGGATACATCAATTTTAGCCTAATTAGGGTGTATACCTTTGCCCTAGATCACAGGCCTACCTAGATGTTTATCCGGGTCTTCGGCCTGAAAAAATGGTGATTTGCCGTTCCATATCTGGTAATATCTTAGTCATAGCTGTCAAACTCATTGAGATATTCACAATTGATTGAATGTCGCATTTTTTGTCACAGTACTCCGGCCATGGCTGGCATGAGCTCCCCCAGGTTTTATGAGTACAGCCCTTCACCAGTAGCCACAGTTTTATTAGTAAAACTGAGTGCACATCCTGGACCGTGCTCCGCACCGCTCGTCCACTGTGCCCCGTGGCCAGTCTCAGGTGCCCCGCGCCCCCACTGCCGCACGTCCTGCCGCTCATCCGAGGGCTTCGACTGCCGCCCGGCGGGCCAGCTGGGCATTCGCGACTGTCTTCTCCCCTCTTCCCGTCTACCCTACCCCGTCAGCCCGCTGCCGCCCACTACCCAACCTATACGGGCCGCGGCTTCCACTCTCCCTACTCCCCAGCCTAACCCTACTCCCTTCGCACCCTCGGTGGCTATGGGAACTCCGTCGACGTTTACCCGAGTCTCGCATACCCAAGGCGCCTCTCCCATGCGGATGGATACCAGTGTGGCTTCCACTCCCATGCAGATTGACGCGGTAGCGCACGGTCGGCAGCGCAATCGACAGACGGCCCAACGAGGGGGCGTACCTGCGCAATCATCGCGTGTTATAGGCGACAACCTCTATTTCCCTGGCGACCCCGAATACGAGTTTGCAGAACCCTACACTCCGCCTATCCGTCGAGGCGACGGATCTTGAGGAGGGGTTGGTGTAAGGGGAGCATGTGATGTGACAGCTGTGACTGATCACGTGACTGGTCCGTGCGCAGATAGCCCTGTACTTAAGTAGTTGGCTGTGGGGCTGTTCCCCCGGCTTTGGTATCAACTAGGCACCTGGACCCTCATCCCCTGACAGCATACCAAAGCCTCTACATCGACTCTGGCACTCTTCTAGCCCCAGTTGATCCTCTCTATCTCCTATATTCGTCCTCACCCTACTGTGCTTGCCTTCTCTCCTCCAATGACGACTCCTGGCGTCCCTGTCGACCTGTATTCGTACTGCCTGCTCTTGCAGAGCGAAATTACTCGCCTCACCGACCGTCTCGACCGTCTTGAGTATGGTACGCCTGCTCCACCCCCTGCTCCCCCTTCCCCTGGTCCTACATTCCACGGTGTCTGGGACGGCAGTCGCTGGGTTCTTCCAACAATCCCGGCCCCTACCCCTGCCGTCATCGCTGCGGCCCACACTTCCATACCACTTGCCGAAACCTTCCCCCTACTGCGCCCGACACTGTCACCGCTTCTCTTGTACGCTTGTGGTGCCTGACTCGGCTGTCGGGCATATCGTGGGTCGTGGCGGCAAGGGTCTCCACCAAGCTCATGACACTTCTGGTGCTCAGTTGCGCGCGTACTCTGATCGCGCTGCGCCTGGTGAGCGCCGGGTCTCTATCCGGGGAACCGACCAGCAAATCGGTGAAGCGCTTATTGCGCTTGGGAAACGGTTCATGCGTAAGCGTGTCCGTGCGAAGAAGCAACGTCAGCCACCGTCTGCTGAGGGACCTGCTCCCCCTCCTCCTGTCGCGCCTGTGCCTGTGCGTCTCACGCCACTAAGATGGATGTCGACCGTGCAGCTCATTCACTCAGGAATACTAATAAAAACGTGGCTACCTGGTGAAGGGCCATACTCATAAAACCTGGGGAAGGGCTCAAGGGTCACAAATGTCACACTTTTTAAAAAACCATTTTATTCATTTTTGGGTGTTAGATCATAGTATTGATGATGGGATTGATGGCATCAAGATAAAGTGATCAATGTGGAACGATTTTTGATGGACATCAGTATCATTGATGGCTATGTCAGGATACATCAATTTTAGCCTAATTAGGGTGTATACCTTTGCCCTAGATCACAGGCCTACCTAGATGTTTATCCGGGTCTTCGGCCTGAAAAAATGGTGATTTGCCGTTCCATATCTGGTAATATCTTAGTCATAGCTGTCAAACTCATTGAGATATTCACAATTGATTGAATGTCGCATTTTTTGTCACAGTACTCCGGCCATGGCTGGCATGAGCTCCCCCAGGTTTTATGAGTACAGCCCTTCACCAGTAGCCACAGTTTTATTAGTAAAACTGAGTGCACATCCTGGACCGTGCTCCGCACCGCTCGTCCACTGTGCCCCGTGGCCAGTCTCAGGTGCCCCGCGCCCCCACTGCCGCACGTCCTGCCGCTCATCCGAGGGCTTCGACTGCCGCCGGCGGGCCAGCTGGGCATTCGCGACTGTCTTCTCCCCTCTTCCCGTCTACCCTACCCCGTCAGCCCGCTGCCGCCACTACCCAACCTATACGGGCCGCGGCTTCCACTCTCCCTACTCCCCAGCCTAACCCTACTCCCTTCGCACCCTCGGTGGCTATGGGAACTCCGTCGACGTTTACCCGAGTCTCGCATACCCAAGGCGCCTCTCCCATGCGGATGGATACCAGTGTGGCTTCCACTCCCATGCAGATTGACGCGGTAGCGCACGGTCGGCAGCGCAATCGACAGACGGCCCAACGAGGGGGCGTACCTGCGCAATCATCGCGTGTTATAGGCGACAACCTCTATTTCCCTGGCGACCCCGAATACGAGTTTGCAGAACCCTACACTCCGCCTATCCGTCGAGGCGACGGATCTTGAGGAGGGGTTGGTGTAAGGGGAGCATGTGATGTGACAGCTGTGACTGATCACGTGACTGGTCCGTGCGCAGATAGCCCTGTACTTAAGTAGTTGGCTGTGGGGCTGTTCCCCCGGCTTTGGTATCAACTAGGCACCTGGACCCTCATCCCCTGACAGCATACCAAAGCCTCTACATCGACTCTGGCACTCTTCTAGCCCCAGTTGATCCTCTCTATCTCCTATATTCGTCCTCACCCTACTGTGCTTGCCTTCTCTCCTCCAATGACGACTCCTGGCGTCCCTGTCGACCTGTATTCGTACTGCCTGCTCTTGCAGAGCGAAATTACTCGCCTCACCGACCGTCTCGACCGTCTTGAGTATGGTACGCCTGCTCCACCCCCTGCTCCCCCTTCCCCTGGTCCTACATTCCACGGTGTCTGGGACGGCAGTCGCTGGGTTCTTCCAACAATCCCGGCCCCTACCCCTGCCGTCATCGCTGCGGCCCACACTTCCATACCACTTGCCGAAACCTTCCCCCCTACTGCGCCCGACACTGTCACGCGCTTCTCTTGTACGCTTGTGGTGCCTGACTCGGCTGTCGGGCATATCGTGGGTCGTGGCGGCAAGGGTCTCCACCAAGCTCATGACACTTCTGGTGCTCAGTTGCGCGCGTACTCTGATCGCGCTGCGCCTGGTGAGCGCCGGGTCTCTATCCGGGGAACCGACCAGCAAATCGGTGAAGCGCTTATTGCGCTTGGGAAACGGTTCATGCGTAAGCGTGTCCGTGCGAAGAAGCAACGTCAGCCACCGTCTGCTGAGGGACCTGCTCCCCCTCCTCCTGTCGCGCCTGTGCCTGCGTCTCACGCCACTAAGATGGATGTCGACCGTGCAGCTCATTCACTCAGGAATACTAATAAAAACGTGGCTACTGGTGAAGGGCCATACTCATAAAACCTGGGGAAGGGCTCAAGGGTCACAAATGTCACACTTTTTAAAAAACCATTTTATTCATTTTTGGGTGTTAGATCATAGTATTGATGATGGGATTGATGGCATCAAGATAAAGTGATCAATGTGGAACGATTTTTGATGGACATCAGTATCATTGATGGCTATGTCAGGATACATCAATTTTAGCCTAATTAGGGTGTATACCTTTGCCCTAGATCACAGGCCTACCTAGATGTTTATCCGGGTCTTCGGCCTGAAAAAATGGTGATTTGCCGTTCCATATCTGGTAATATCTTAGTCATAGCTGTCAAACTCATTGAGATATTCACAATTGATTGAATGTCGCATTTTTTGTCACAGTACTCCGGCCATGGCTGGCATGAGCTCCCCCAGGTTTTATGAGTACAGCCCTTCACCAGTAGCCACAGTTTTATTAGTAAAACTGAGTGCACATCCTGGACCGTGCTCCGCACCGCTCGTCCACTGTGCCCCGTGGCCAGTCTCAGGTGCCCCGCGCCCCCACTGCCGCACGTCCTGCCGCTCATCCGAGGGCTTCGACTGCCGCCGGCGGGCCAGCTGGGCATTCGCGACTGTCTTCTCCCCTCTTCCCGTCTACCCTACCCCGTCAGCCCGCTGCCGCCACTACCCAACCTATACGGGCCGCGGCTTCCACTCTCCCTACTCCCCAGCCTAACCCTACTCCCTTCGCACCCTCGGTGGCTATGGGAACTCCGTCGACGTTTACCCGAGTCTCGCATACCCAAGGCGCCTCTCCCATGCGGATGGATACCAGTGTGGCTTCCACTCCCATGCAGATTGACGCGGTAGCGCACGGTCGGCAGCGCAATCGACAGACGGCCCAACGAGGGGGCGTACCGCTGCAATCATCGCGTG